AATTTGTGAAGCTTAAAAATTATAATTATTATAATTATTAGTTTGTTTGTCAAGTAGAAAATTGTTTCTATATTCATACTTTTTATTAACTTTTATTATAAGAACCATAGATTGGGTCAAAGTGTTATTTATTAGAAATTTAATTTTTGCTAACAAATCTTTGGTAATCTATATAAAAAAAAATTTATCTAGATCACCATTACTTTTGTAATGAATATTAAAAATAATTTAAATCATTGTTTTATTCAACCCTAATTATTTCCGTTATTTTTAAGATCATAGTAAATAATTCATCTAATGATACCACAAATAAATACTTAATTGATTTAAGTTTCAAAATACACTTTATTGGTGTGCATAGAAAATTAAAAAAAATAGTTTGAATATTAAATATTTACAGTTTTTGAAAATTGTTAACTTAAAAAAAATTTAACTTGATTAAAATATCTATAAATTCTAACTTGAACAATTTTTTTAAAAATTACAACTGTTTCAGATAGCTTAAACATTTTAATATGCTCTAGATTTTTATTTTTATTAGTTTTTCTGGTTTTATCATCTCACAATTAGATGTTTTTCACTATAATATTTTTCAACATTTATTGCTTTATACTTAAATACAGATAAAGTGATATTTATAATAAAATATTAACTGTTTAAAATACATTTTTTGTCGTACTTGATAATTTATTCAATATATAGCAACATAAAATACTGATAAGTACTAATTTTTAATTTATTTATGATATTTTAGTCTGATTAGATGTAAAATAAAAGTTTTTATTTGGCCTGAGTTAATCAGACCAAAATGTCACATAAATAAATTAAAAATTAGTACTTAGCAGTATTTTATTTTATCATATATTGAATGATAAACTATGGCATTTTTTATACAGCAACTATTTAAATTTAAAAATAATTAATAACCACTTATAATAAGGAAAAATAAAAAAAAATAAATAAATTTAAATCATAAGATTATAATTATAACTAATAATTTAAGAAGTGCATTTACAATTGCAACTACAACCAATTTAATCACATTAAACTTAATTTTAATAACATTATTTTTTATAAATTATAACTTAATTGGCACAAAAAAATAAGTAACAAAAAAAATTATTTTAAACACAATTAAGTATTATAAATTAATTAATTTATTTAATAAATTATTTTGAAATAACAAAAGTTTAGTTAGATTAATTTAATAAAAATCTCTTTACCATCAGGTTTACTTGTTAAAAGATTTGTTAAAATATCAATTTTTTGTGATATTTCTTCAGTAGTCATTTGCTTCATTTCACTAAGACGTCGAATAGTCATTTGTAAACATCCTAATATTAGTTGAACCACCTCTGGCTTTACATCGTCAATTCTAATTATTTCTTTCAAAGATTTTTTGTAATATTTAATAAGATAAGGATAGTTTGAGCTACGTAACTCATCAATATGACAGCATTCCCAAAATGATAATGAACTCAGTAAGTCTAGGCGCTTAGCTTTATAGTTTAACTGCAGAATAAATATAACAGATATGTTCTTTAATTTAAACTGATCTTGTGTTTCTTTACAAATGTATTGTGCACATGAAATTAACTTGCTCCTCTCCTGTGCATTGTTTGCTTGAATGATAAGAAGCTGTTTTCTATTACATTCAGCATTGCATACAACTCTTAAAATATAATAAGACATTTTTTACACATTTTTAGAACAATATAACTTTACAAATAATCTAAAACAACTCATTCTAAAACAAATGGTTTATGTAACAACATATTTTTTTTATCAATAGTGTTAAAATATTTATACAGTATAATAGTAAAAACACTCATAAAAATATCATAAAACTATTTAAGTAAGTTTAGTAAACATTTACCTTGAAATAATGTTATGAGCTATGTTATGAGAAAATAGGTTATGAAGTTCAATCATAAATATATATAATAGCTTCATAACCAAAATAGGTTATGAAGTTCAATCAAACATATTTAATCAATTATATGAAAGAACTTTATCAAAGTAATGGTGAATAATATAACAAATATCATATACAAATATCATACCATACAAGTAAATAAAATATAAAGAGAATTTTTATATAACTTAATTAACTAAAAAAAAAAACATAAAATATTACATTGTTAAAAAACTGTTTTATAATAGAAGGTTTCCAAGTTAAAATATTATTAAATTATTAAAATACTATTATTTTCATTTAGAGTCTAAGAGCTTAGTATTTGAGCATAAAATTTTTTTTTGCGAAAGATATAATTAACCATTATATTAAACATAAGATGAGTTTTTAACAAATACTCTTATGAACTATTACGAAAACAAATTTTTTTTTTTTTTTATTTGCATTCACTCCCAACAAGGCTGCAAGCAACCATTATTAAGTTGGGAGTTACTAGGAAAAAAAAAAAAGAACAGAGTTATAGAGCAAGGAAACGGTTGACAAAAGACTTGAAAAGTTGAAGGTTGTATGAGTCAGGAAAACATGAAGATGGGAGAGAGTTCCAAAGGATTGAAGTGCGGGGAAAAAAACTAGATGAATAAAAGTTTTTAGAGCATGCAGGGACAGATACAGTAAACGTATGAGACTTAGCTGAATGACGAGTAAAACGAGAATGAATTTTAGTTGATGGAACTAGAGATGATAACTCCTTTGAGCAGTGACCATGATAGCATCTGTAGAAAAGAGAAAGAGATGCAACTTTACGACAATGGGAAAGAGGTTCAAGCTTAGCAGATAGTCCAGGTCCAACAACATTTACAATGCGTTTTTGGACCTTGTCAAGAAGAGAAAGTGAATTGTTAGAACAACCAGCCCAAATATGACAACAGTATTCCATACAGGGAAGAATAAGAGATTTGTAGAGGTAGAGAATGGAATCAGAAGTAAGGAAATGGCGAGCACAATAAAGAGAAGCAACCTTAGCAGAAGCTAATTTAGCAATCGATTGTATATATGGTTTCCATGAAAGGTCAGTAGTAAGCGATAATCCAAGAAGACGTAAAGAGGAGGACTCAGTAAGAGGATTGCCATTCATTAATATAGGAATGTTGACCATATTACGGTAGTTGTTTGCAGTAAGCAATTGGGTTTTTTTAGAGTTGAAATTCACAAGCCACTGTGAACCCCAATCTATTACTGAAGTGAGATCAGATTCAAGATCAGCTGCTTGTTCTAGGCGATCGAAAAGAGAAGACTTTTTGTCAAGACAGGAGTATAAAGTTGAGTCATCAGCAAAAAGAGCTACTTTAGATGAAAGGTTGTCAGGAAGATTGTTTATGTAGATAAGAAACAAAACAGGGCCCAGGATGGAACCTTGGGGAACCCCAGAAGTTACTGGAAATAAAGAAGAGTGTTGGCCTTCAAGGATGACTTTAATAAACCGGTTAGAAAGAAATGATTTGATGATCTCAAAAACTTTCCCAGAAACACCATATGAAGCAAGCTTATGGAGAAGACCAGCATGCCAAACTTTGTCGAAAGCTTTAGATATGTCGAGAGCAATAGCCCTAGCCTCACCGCCTCCATCTAATGCACAATAAAATCTTTCAGTTACAGCAGTTAGCAAGTCGGCCGTAGAGCGAGAGGATCGATAACCGTATTGATTGTCTGACAGTAGTTTATTTGACTCAAGATGAGATGTGAGGAATTTGTTGATTAAAGACTCAAAGACCTTGCTAATAACAGAAAGAAGACTGATCGGACGATAGTTGGAGGGGTCAGAATTTTCTCCAGAGTTTTTGAATATTAGAACCACAGATGGCATTTTCCAACAAGCAGGAAAATAAGACTCAGTCAAACACTTGTTAAATAGTTTAGAAAGAATTGAAGAAAGTTCTGGAGAACAATTCTGCAAGACTGTGACAGGAATGTTGTCTGGACCACAAGCTGTAGATGAGTTTAATTGAGATATGACTTTAGCAACAGAAGCCGGAGTGATTTGAATGTCTAACAATGGGTCAACCTGTTTGACTGGAATGGAAGGAAGAAAATGTCCATAAGATTCAAGAGTGGAATTAGAAGAAAAGTTCTTTGCAAACAGTTCTGCCTTATCCCTGGGAGAGGTAACAAGATTAGTCCCATGAATGAGAGATGGAATGTTAGATCTACCCTTGTTAACAATGCTGTTGAAGATTTTCCAATAGTCTTTAGAGCCTAACTTCTGCGATAGATGCGAGATTTAGTGAACTGAGAATAATGGAGTTTAGCATCAGATATTTAATTACAACTTTTAATGACAAAACAAAAACAAAAAAACAAAAACAAAAAAAACAAACTACATTGAATAATTTTCTTTGCTAAAATTAAACAATTCTTTACGAAATGAATAAGTGCTGAGATCATAACAAAAAATTATTAAAACATAGTTTTGTAAATAAAGTTTTGAAACCAATTATTAACAAAAGGTTTAGGTATATTGTTAATGAATAACTACTAATAATTGATAGGTATTTTTAAACGTATAAACGTTGACTTTTTTTAATAGTCTTTTAAAATAGTTTACTTTCTCAGAGCCAACAAAGTAGCCTCTTTAACTCAATCTCAGCTCTTTTAACTCCAAAACACAAAACTTCATGAATAAGGTCACTGCACAGAAAAACAAATAAGGAATACTAGGGATGTGGTGGGGATTGAACTTAAAACTTTTTGCTTTTGAAGTGAGCGCTCAACCACTACTACTGCTTAATTTATCATCAATACCATCAAAAATGGGAATCAAGTAAAATCGACAAGCTTAGCACAATTTAAATCAAACATTGTAAAATATTCAGATATAAGTGACTGGAATAGCATTTAGAACCATCAGTGATTTGATTTAAAAAAATAAAATGTTTGTATATGTGAAAACTTAGATCAAAAGTTAAGCATAAAACTTCAAGTTGCAACATTGCAATTACAATGTTGCAATCTAAAGTTTAATGACATATTTCGCTTTTATATTTTTGACATTTGACATCTTTGACATTTTCAAAATATATATTTTTTAAATTATGTGATGTGAATGATCCATAAATTAAAATTATTGAGTTTCAAAAATAGATTCAAAGATTTCTTTTAATTTCATTTTTTAAATAGATGGCTGTAGTTAATTTTTAAATCATGAACTGTTAATGTTGCATAAATAATAATGTTAAATAAGCTTTAACATTGCAATTGCACCAAGTTTATTTGCTTGGACTTCGATAAAATTAGAAGAAGAACCTCATAGCAAAAATTACAAGAAAGTCTCTCTAAAGTTTTTCACATATGACTGGGTCAGTTTTTTGTACAAGCTAGATCAGTTGCACAAAGCTATAATTATGTCCCAAAATCACTTAGTACTATCAGAAAAATGGTATTAGACTGTTAAAAGCAGATTAAAGTTGTAAAGGAAATAATTGATCAAATATCAAGATGCTCTAAATTTTCATTAACACTTGATGAGTTAGCTTCTTTTGGAAACTGTAGATATATAAATATGAACGTACATGAGTTGAAAAGTTCTTAGAGCGTAGGTTTAATTAAAATTTTAGGGGGTTATGCCAGCAGAAAGATTTCACTTCTAAACGAAAGAATTCGTCACCTAAAAATAAAACTTCAGGACAATAACATAGGTATTATGACTGATGGTAAAAAGTAGGTAAAAATTGAGTTTGGAAAGCTCATCCAATTAATCATGGATTTCAAACCCAATGGAGCAGCTTATTGCTTATGCTAGACCAACTTGAGAAGTTAAAATATTGTGTTAAAAAGACACTTTTGGTTTAGAATTGGATTCCAACATTGATCATTAAACTAAGATGAACAAAAAAGAATATAAAATAATATATAATTTAGTAGTACTTTTGAATCCTTATTTGAATATCTAATTTAGTAATACTTTTGAATTTTTTACATATTTACTTTTGCTGCAACTGTGGTTGCAGCAAAACTAAATATGTATGTAACCTAAATATGTATACACATTTACATGTATGTAACCTAAATATGTATACACATTTACATGTATGTAAACTAAATATGTATACACATTTATTTAAAAATTACCAAATAATAAATATTGACAATATTGTGCCACTTTGACAAAGTGCTGTGGAAGTACTTTGTCAAAGAGACAACTTTACCGGTTGGTTTTTATGTTAAAAAATTACAAATTAAGCCATGAAATGATTGACTCTGAGTTTTTTAAAGTGATACTTTCAAACATAAATATAATTTATGTATACTCATGCATTTTTATATTATTTTTAATTTATACTTTTATTTGTACTTGCTATCATTTTAAGGTATTGTTTTATAATTTAAGCTTCTTAGGTTCATTAACAAATGAAATATTTTAGTAATATTAAAATTAAATTAACTATTTTAAGTGTTTGATAAGTACATAAAAATTAGTTCTTTTCACACTTCACTTTCTACATTTGCATTTTTTTCTGTCAAATCCCGAGATTTCCCGGCAAGAACCTTCTCAAATCCCAAAATCCTAGAACTACAAATGTGCAGAATTTTTTCCATCTCTATTTGTAACGTACATTTTAAAATAAATGCATCAAAAAACCATGTGACTCAAAATATGAGAAAATATAGTTTAGTGAGCAACAAAAAGTTTTATATTTTTACCAACTTTTATTTACATTTATAATTTTATATTTAATTAGATTAATGGAAGTTATATTTCAATAATTATTATTTTAGTACAAATTTACCGTAGACGATCCCTGAATGATTTTTCTGTTTGAAACTGCATAAGAGAAATCATTTCAATTTCAAAATCATTTAACTTAACATCTAAACTTTCTTTGTCAGTTGGAGATAAAAGTCGTGAAAATGTTGTAACCTAAAAAAATAAATAATACAAAAAAATTAAAAAAACATGTTCAAATAATGAGTTTACTTAAAATATTGTTTTCATTTATATAAATATTAATTATAAAATACAAATTATAATTTAAATTTTATAATAAATATTTTTTCAACAGATCACTTGTAAAAATTCATGATTAAATTTAAAAGTAACTATAAAAAATAATTAATAATAAATATTAAAAACAATTAAAAAATAACTTTCAAATAATTTTAAGATTAATATGATTTATTATTTATTTAAGATTTATTATGTTAATTTAGTTCTAAGTCAAATGTAATATTTAAAACCAGTAGTTTATAATAGGCAATACCTGCATAAATTTGCTATCTATATTATCAAGTTCATTGATAAGATAAGCTTCCAGAGAATGATGAAACTGCTCATTAAAGTAAATATTCCAATAGTATTCAAAATGGTCTCTCAAACTTGTTTTCAAAACACGAAATAAAGAATCAGGAGTAGCTAATTTTAATAAAACCTGACAACTTTCTTCAAAAATCTAAACAATGCATTTAAACAAAGCATTTTAGCAATAAATTATTTTATAAATTTTTAAAAATTATTTTAGCAATACTATTAATAAATTATTTATTAGCAAATTTAAAATAATTCAAGTAAAAACTGTTTGAAATCAACCTTATCGTGGTCAACAACAGTTAATTTTTCATGTTCAATCTCACCAACATACTTTTGATAAAGTTTAATTACAATAGAAGCACAACTAACTTCACTGTATCCAATAAATGATTCTGATGGTTTGAACTCATGTCTAAAAAATGTTTTTTATTTCAGATCTTTCATTCAAAAGTAAAAAAACTTTATTTTTTAATTTATGACAGTTTTTCTCTAGTTTAGGTTTTTCAATTTGTTTTTTTTTACTTATTTTATTATTCAAAAACTCTTTATTTTCATTTTTACTGTTTAGCTATTTAAATTTACACAGAATTTCATAAATTTTTTTATTATTTACAAATGCAAAAATTTAATTTACAGAAAAAAATTTATAAATACAAAAATTAACTATTATGTTTTTTAATATATAAATACAAAGTTTACTAGATGTTTAAATTCACCACTTATATTTACTTGCTGTCCTTACTTGTTACTCACTTATATTTACTTGCTGTCTCTTACTTGTTACTTATATTTACTTGCATGTAGTAAATGAGTCTCACTCAGCATTTCTTCCAATTGCTATTATTTAATTGTTATTGCTATTAAAAATAGCAATAACAATAATAATGATAATAAAAATAATAATAAAATGAGCAAAAAAACATCACAAATAATAACTAAAACATGATAACTTTACAAAAATTATAACTAATGATAAAAACTATAGTAAAAATAATTATAGTAAAATTTAAAACTACAATAAAAGTTATAAAAATAAATATATCAATTGCAAAAATTATGAAAATAAAACTATTACTACAATGGAATCACTATCACTATCATAATAAATAAAATTATCAAGTAAAACAAAGATAAATTTAAACAAAGATTTAAAAAATTTAAACAAATTAATGATAATAATAATAATAATAATAATAATAATAATAATAATAAAGTTGAAAAAGATAGTATAAAGTAAAAATAATGATAATAGTTTTATTAATACAGTAATATAAAAAAAACAATAATAATAAAAGATAAAACTAATATTCATTGGATATACTCAAAATTTCCTAATTTGGTTTCGGTTAAGAAGAAGGATATTGGTAATAAAGGGTATTTTGTCAAAATCTTTTTTTTTATAAACAGTATTAATTGGTTCCAGTGAGAAATACATTGATATTTTATAGAAAGCTTGCAATAATAGAGAATGCTGAAAAAGGAAAATAAAATTTTCAGTTTTTTTGTGTAATATTTATGTGTATCATTTGTTTGTTTTGGTAGTTTATTTTAAAGAAATTTCATGGTCAACTGTATCAAAGACTTATTGGAGATCAATAAAGATGCCAAAAGCAAAAAAACCACTCTCAGACAAAAATTATTTCAGTAATGCTAATAAGTTCATGAGAAGTAAAGTGTTTTAATTAGTGTTGTTATCAACTTTGACTAAATTGACTAAAGGTTTACAAGTCAAAAGTTGAAGTTATTCGAAAAAATCAAATAAAAAATTGAAAAACCAATTAGTCAATTTAATTGACTCTGGACTTGTTACTATTGGATTAAAGTCGATATAGTTAAAGTAAAAATCTTAAAATCCTTATATCTTTTCATTCAGCTTACCTTTTCAATCTTTAGTTTTTGTTTGTTTAATAACAAAAGCATATACTATTATAGCTATTACCTAGTTTGTTTACTCTTTTAAAATTTTATCAAATTCATAGCATGTTCACGGTGCTCAGAGATAAGACAGTAATGAGAAAAAAAATTATAAAGAAAAAAATTATGTTCAAAAAGTTTCCGTTATGGATTTTATTAATTTTTTTTCTATTGTTTACTAGATGCTTTGATTTTCATTAATACTTTCATATAGGACTGCTCCAAGCTGGCTCAGGGCCATGGGCAAAATCAAGTTGTAAAACTCCAAATCTAAGTGTCTTCTATACCAGCATGTTGCAATTATAATTGTAAAGACTTTGATATAGAGCAAATATTTAAAGTAGTCTCTAAATTATAGGGTATGGGAATAAATTGTCCGATTGTTGGAGCGGTCCTTTTTCTTATATTGCTTTGCTCAATTAATATTTAAATAGTATGATGTCAAAATATAGAAATCAAATATAAATTACTTTATTATTTTTATTACAATTTAATTCAAAAAAAATATATTATTCTCATATTTTGATTAAATCGACTTTTGTTTGATGACTTTTTCAAAAATGTATTAATCAATATTAGTCTACTCTAGAAATTGTATTAATCAATTTAGTCAAATTTAATAGTTGTAAAAACACTAGTTTTAAACCAAACTGGCAACCACATAGACACGAGAATACATTAATTTTTCAAGAATTTTGATAATGATATTGGTCTATAGTTATTACAGTCAAGTTTTAAATCCTATTTATGGATTGGTTTAACAGATGCAGTTTTTAAAATATTAGGGAATATACAAGTAGTAAATGAGAGGCTAAATAGTTTAGAAAGTAATGAAGAAATATCATTAGCAAGAAGTTTTAGAATAAAGGTTGGAATGCTGTTTAGAAGCCTTGCCATCATTTTGAGAAAGAATAACTGATATTATTTCATTTTTTTCAGTAGGTTTGATGAAAATAAATTCAAGGTTTAATGTTTTTAAATACTTATAGAAGTCAGTACCTTGACATGTAAGGCCGCTGCATGGAAAAACAAGTTAAGCGCAGTACTACAAAGGACATTGTGGGGATTGAACTCAGAACTTCCCGCTTTTGAGGCAAGCACTCTACCACTACAACATTACCGCATTTAACATATACAAGGTGGGTATGAGATGTCATTTAAACATATATTCTGAAGAATCTAATACACTTCCACATAGCTCTTAAATTATTGTTATTAGTAGTAAAGTAGTTAGAAAAGTGGTTCTTTTTGCTTCTTTAAATAAGTGTTACAAATAAATCTTTATAGGTTTTGTAAGTTTAAATGCTGAAGTAATCCATGGTTTAAGGCTCCAAGTTAAGCAATGTGTGTTTGTCTAGAATAGAATTAAAGCTAGTCAAGAAATCTTCATATGATTTTTTTGAATTACCATTAGCGACCTTGATTACTTTATCCCTTTATTTTCAAAGTTTATTTTCATTCCTTAATTCTTCATTATTTAATTTTTTAAAGTTTTGAAGAAGAATATTGCTTATATGAGAATTAATATTTCCTTTTTTAAAAGATGAATAAATTAGAAACTGTGGCAAACGATCTTATATTCTAATAGTTAGACTGCTGAAAAATATCTTTAAAAGTTGAATTAGAAAATATATTATTAATTTAAGTATTTGAGTTAATGGTAATTCTTGTTGGTAAGGATATAAAAGGAAGAGAGTTAATCAAATACTGAACAACTTTTAAGATTGAATTTTTAGTTTGCTTTTATAATGTCTATATTAAAATCACCCATTATGTAGATGATTTAACTTTTTTCAACAGCAAGTTTAAATTCATTAATATCCATATTGGTGTTTGAAGAGTTAAAAAATTTCTATGTCTATGTATTTACAATTTATAGGGTTTTCAACTATGTTTTTATCATCATTGTCATTGTATTTTTATAGTATTACTTACATTTAGCTGTTTATTGTATCAAAGCTGATAAGTAAAGTAAGTTGATTAAAAGTACAAAATTCTCGAGAGCAAGGAATAAGGAATCAGATCAGATCATTGACAGATCATTGGAAGATCATTGAGATGTAATATGTTTGTAATGAAAGTTAGAAGACATAGTTCGCTATCCAATATAGAACTAAAAGAAAAAATATTTGTAAATCAGAGCCAAAAAGTCATGAAAGAATTTTTTGATAAACTAAAATCATTATTATTCAAAGATTTCTTGTGGATTAAACTAGGCAGTGGTTGCATTAAAGTGAAAGATCATAAAAAATTTTTTATTTAATTTAAATAATTAATTTTTTTTTTTTTTTTTGGTTACGCGCCTAATAATAATCATGTCTTCAGGTTTTATTTTAATTGATTTTGTTCAGATATTACTTCTCTACTTTTATGAAATTTTCTTTGCAACAACAAGTAATTTTTTTCTATATTCAACAATAAGATTGTAGTTGGTTTTAGTTTTTATTGGATTAGGTATGTTGAATGACTTAGGTATAATATTGTTCTTTATGCATATTTCTAAAAATATTTATTGGTTTTTAGCTGAATAATACACATGAATGAGCTGAATAATACAAATGGGAATACGAAAATGAATAATACACATGGGAATACCAAAATAATCAAAATCAACTTAATTTCTTAGATATCTGCATTTCAACTAACCATATAACTCACAAATATAACTTTTATATATACCCCAAGAATGCAATAACAAATGTGCTTGTAAAACCTCAATCGTGCATATCACCATATATTGCAATAGGGATATTAAAAGGTTTTCTTGAAAGAGCTTTTAAACTATGCATTAGTGATTATATAGAAGAAGAAATTGAGTTCCTTATAATTATTTTTATGGAAAATGGATATTTTCGGCAACAACTTCTATATATTGTAAACCATTACAAACCATATAACCTTATTCTTTGACATAAGTTTCAAAAAGTTGGCATAAAAACAGTTTTTCTTTTTGGAAGATCTTTATAGAACATTTTATGCCATAATAAATCAAAGCTACCACCAAACAGTTACCCTGTTGTTTACCAACTTGAATGTACATGTGGCACTTTTTATGTGGGTGAAACCAGAAAAAAAATAAAAATACGAAAAGCTGAAAATCAAAAAAGTGTAACTTAAGTGAACTGGAAAGTGTCTGGAATTGTTGAACATGCACAACATTGCGAAGGTATAATTAATTGGAATAATCCTTTTTTTTTTGTAGTTAATAATTATACTAGAAAAATCAGGAAGGCAAATAGACAATAGGCAAATGAAATAGACAGATTGTAATGTTGCTATCCAAAAAATAAAATTCAAAACCGGGATATTGGCAACCTAGTGATGACTCACCAGTGGAAACCATTTTTTCTTAAATTTAAGAAAAAACTTTTATAACATTACGCAGCAATGACATCATCATTGTAAGCAATGAATTTTTTATAACACATTTTTGTTTGAAAATGGCTCCAACTATATGAGCTGAAATATCCAACTTAAAATTAAAAAATGTTATTAAGTTAAATAAATAGTATGTCCCCGTAAATAATGTATTTTCAATTATATATATATATATATATATATATATATATATATATATATATATATATATATATATATATATATATATATATATATATATATATATATATATATATATATATATATATATATATATATATATATATATATATTTTAAATAGTAATAAAAAAAATTGACAGAAATTAATTTTTACATACGTGAGTGAGTTTACGCTAGAAAAATCTGAAGCCCATTTTTTAAGCTTTTCAGCAAGTTCTATTTGAGAATGTTCCATTCCATTAAAAGGAGTTAAAAAATGCTTTTCCAGCCTGTTTATCAAAGGTATAGGAAAGGTCTTGTACACATTTTCTTTATCTGCAATCACTATAAGTCTAAATTTACAATAAATTAGTTCACTAAAAATATAAGAAAACTTATAACTTATATAAAACTTAATGATATAAAAGAAATTATAACTTTCTGTATAGGAAATATAAAAGTTCCATAAAGTATACAAAAACAACTTTTTTATAAAACAAAGATTTAATATAATAATTATACAATTAACAAAACTCATTAATAATTTTACCTGAAATCTTCATGCACTCTGCATTTAACTCTGTGAGTTCCAATGCCTAAATCTACATAGTTCTTTTCTTGAAATGATACATAATACTAAACATTAAATGGTTATCTGAATTAAAATAATTTATTTATTTACCCTTCAACCAATCAATAGAAAAATATATTTGAATTTTTTTTTATTATTATAGGAGCATTAGATTTTAATCTAGCAAAAAAATTATTGCGTGTCCAACAAAACTGGAAGCAGAACTCTAGTTTGCCAGGATAAAGCAAAAGTCAAAAGGTTTGTAACTTTAATTATTACTGATCTCTAGATAACAGCAACATTTATTTAAGTGATTTATGTGCAACATTATCAGCGGTTTGTTAGATAAATTTGATAAAAAGTATTTTTATGATATATTTTTTAGATTTGTTTTTGAAAATTTTCAGTGAAAGAATCCTTAAACTCACCAAGGAATACAATAAAATGAAAAGATGGAATTAACTAAAATGAAGTTCCAGCAATGAAAGCTAGGCTTGAAAGCAAAAAAAAAATTTTTTTTAGAAAGTAATAAACTAAATGATATGATAATGAAAAATCAGAGAAATGTAGAAGAGAAAAAATAAGAAGATATATCCTTTAATGAAGGTTTTATCTTATTCTACATCTAGAAGATTGGGGTCTAAAAAGTGTTAGACCCCAAGCTGTTAAGATTTCAACTATCTGCAATCAACTGATGTTAATTTGCATAAAATATATTTATCAAGATCTACTCTGCATAGAAAAAAGAGAACTATTGAAAATCTTAGTAATTAAATATTATTCATGAGAGATGTATTTGTGTTATTACCTTTATTAATACTAACAAACAATTAAATTGCTTTAGGAAAAACATTACTACAGGATCTTATTGAAGTTTTAAAAGGAAAGACTTATAGTCCACTATGACGGTTAGACTTGTTAGAAGAAAATATTCTGACAGTTATCTATGAAAGAATTGCAGTTAGTTTAACCAGTACAGACTTGGAATATAGAGATGTTAGTTTACTTGGCAGAGTGCAGGCAGAAAATTCAATTAAGTTAAAGCAGCCAATTTGATTCTCAATATTAAAGTAGATATCAAACATTTTATGACTACACCAAGTAATCAAGGTCAAAATAGCGCATATTTTATTTTTTCAAAAAAAAGTTTTTTTGGGATAGCCTGATGCACATTTAAAATGTTTGATTTTTAAAATCACTAAAATTTCACTTAAGAAAGAATAAATTTTAATTAATTAAAAAAAAAAAACAAAAAAAAAACATATATACCTGGTTCAATGTATCATAAAGACTTTCATATAAGTTTTCCATGTTTAACTGCACAACTCTAGTGCCAGTCTCCATACATATCTTAATTCTATTTACATCACGACAAACCTTTAAAAGTAAATAAAAAAACAAACACAAAAATTATAAACTTTTTTTTATTTCTTTTTTTTTTTAACATTAAAAAAAAAAAAAAAAAAGGTTTTAACAGAGTTCTTTTTAATGATTTTTTTAATCGTGTTTTTATAAAATATGATTACTATTTTTAAAACATTTATAAAGTGACATCACAGTTGGTTTGCATATCAATTTATTTGAAATAAAAAGATTCATTTAGTAAAATTTTAATAATAGATATTTAAATGAGTTTTACAGTAATGTATTCCCAACAAGGCTGCAAACAACCACAATTAAGTTGGGAGTTAGTAAAAACCAAAGAATAGTGTTAAGGAACAAAGAAACAATTGTCAGGAGACTTGAAAGGTTAAAGGTTGTATGATTTAGGAAAATATATATAACAAATATAGTAAAAGGATACAACTTTGCTGAATGGTGAGAAAGCAAAAATAAGTTTTTGTAGATGCAACTAGACATAATAGTTCATTTAAGCAGTGACCATAATAGTAATAAAGAAAAGAGAATGAGATCCAACCTTAACATGATGGGAAAGTGACTCAACCTTAGCAGATAGAGCAGGTCCAACTACATATACAATGGACTTTTGGACCTAATCTATCTTGTCCTTATTAAATAATTTAGAGAAAATTAAAGAGAGTTCTGGAGAAAACTTTTGTAAAACTATGACTAAAATGTTACCTGGACCACAAACCCTAAAAGAGTTTAAATGAAAAATGATTTAGCTGAAGTGATTTGGATGCCTAACAATGGGTTAACTTTAAGAGAATAGCCATTAAAATCAAGAGTTGAACTGAGGAAAAGCTCTTTGCAAATAGTTCTGCCCTATCCTTGGAAAAAGTAAAAAGATAAAAAGATAAGTAAGAAGTAAAAAGACTTATAAACTATTGATACAATTTTTGACTTAAAAATTTTCAAAAAGTATCAAAAGCCTAATTTCTGAGGTAAACAGGGAATAATAGAGCTTTGAATCAAACAGTGCCTTTTAACATGGATTTTTTGCAACAATAAAAAAGCGTTTGTTTTTAAGAGATTTGTTCTTTTGAAGCTATTTGGGTATACCAGAAGAGAGAGAGGAAAGACATCAGCCCAAAGACCATCACTGAAAAAAAATCACGAAAAGAATCCCAGTCAGCTTAAGGATATTAGCTTACTACTATCCTATAGCTTTAAAATGTGAGATGGTAGGGTTAGTCTAGTAAGTTGGTAGGGTTAGTCTAAAGAAGAAGTACAATATAAAATATTTATAGAGATTATTGTATAATTGGAATCACCTAAGGAGAACAAAAAGAAACTAAACACTAGCTAGGGTCAGAGACAAGAAACAAATCAAAGAGTGGAGGTAAGAGATTAGGGTAGTCTGGAAAATGAGACACAAATATATCTGAGTAAAAAATTATTTAAAAATTATTGTTAAAAATTTACTGATTAAAAGATTTAGAAATACAGAGGTTATGAACTATAGAGCTGGGTAAATGGTGGAAATAAGTTATTCAGTGTGATGAGCATAAAAATTATCAATGACAACAATATTGACAAAAAGAGATAAAAGATAAGGACTCTGTCAATTTTAATAAAAATTTTGAGATAAAAGAGATAGATAAAGAACAAAAAAGTGATCGAATGAAAAGTTGCAAACGAAACTATTTCAAAAAATTTTAAGTGACTTTGCAAGTATTAAAGCCCACAACTTTTGCCTTTCTCAATCCCTAACTCAAATAGTCAACTTTCTTACTCGCTTTCCAGACAACCTGAATCATTTACATTCTTTACTCAACTTATGTCTTGTTTCTGATCCTAGCAAGTGCTCAGTTTTTCCACATTCACTCTTAGATGGCTCTGATCACAGTTTGATCTCTCTAAAACTATCTCATTCTTCTTTATCATCAGAATCCCCCTATCATCGTACATCTTACAACTACCTTAAAGCTGACTGGGACTCTTTCGGTGATTTTCTTTTTAATGGTCCATGGGTAGAAACCTTTTGTCTTCCTGTTGACAAATGTGCTTTTTACATAACTTTGTGGATTCAGGCTGGCATTGAATATATTATTCCTTCTTGACGATTCCAGGTCAAGCCTCACTCTTCTATATGGTTTTTCTTACATTGTGCTGCTGCAATTGCTAATCGAAACAATTACTTCCATATCTATCAGCAAAACTATTCTCCAGAAAACAAACGTCTGATTTATTACTGCTAGAAACCATTGTAAAAAGGTTTTGTTTAATGCCAAATCTCGGTTATTCTCGGATCATGAAATCTTTAAAGTGATTTCCTCCTGAGCTGTCATCTATCAAGATAAAGGTGGAGAGGTTAAGATCATCGCTCTTGACATTTCTAAAGCATTTGATAAAGTTTGTCATGCTAGTCTTCTCCATAAGCTTTTTTCTTACAGCGTATTTGAAAACTTCTTTAAGATTATTGAATCCTTTCTTTTCAATCATAGTATAAAAGTTGTCCTCAATAGACAGCACTCTCTTATTCTGTAACCTCAGGTGTTCCTCAAGGTTCAATCCTTGGCCCTATACTCTTTTTAATTTACATTAAGGATCTTCTAGATATTCTCAGTTCTAAGGTGGTACTGTTCGCTATGATACTACCATTTATTCTTGTCATGATAAGAAGCCAACACTCTTTGATTGATTGGAGGGGGCATTTGAACTTGAAAAGAATCTTACTTCTGCTACAGTATGGGGCCCACAGTTGCTGGTGAACTTTAATTCAGATAAAACTCAATTTTTTTCAGCCAATTGTTATTGCAATAATTTAGACCTTCCTATATTTATGAACGGTAATGTACTTGATGAGTCATCTACCCTTTATCTTCAAGATTAACTCTTATTCCTGATCTTTCTTGAAAATTATATGTCAAATCCGTTGCAAAATTAGCATCTGCTAAAGTTGCATTTCTTTATCAAGCTCGACACTTTTTAACTCCAGATTCTATTCTCTATCTCTATAAATCTCAAATCCGGCCTTGTATGAAATACTGTTGCCATATCTGGGGCGGATCTTCTAATGATTTTAATTCTAATGATAATGACTCTTTCTCTTTTAGACAAGGTGCAAAAAGACATTGTAAACATAATTGGACCTGCTCTTGCAGCCAACCTTCAACCATTATCGCATCGTTGTAATGTTGCATTTCTTTCTTTTTTCTACAAATACTATAGTGGACACTGCTCTAAAGAGCTAGTGTCTCTTGTGCCATCTATTAAAATTCATTTTTGTGTTACTTGCCATTCAATTAAGTCTCATCCTTTTTCTGTTACTGTTCCTAAGTGCTCCATAAACACTTATTCGTCTAGTTTTTTACCTCGAACATCAGTTCTTTATAATTCGCTTTCTTCATCTTGCTTCCTGACTCACATAATTTGCAATCTTTTAAGTCGTCTGTCAGTCGTTATCTTGCTCTATAATCTTCATCTTTTCTCTTCCAGTAACTTCCAAATCTAATTAGTCGTTGCTTGCAGCCTTGTTGGAAGCGAAGATTTAAAAAAAAAAAGCATTAGGATAAAATATTACATCTAAAAAAATACTAGAAATAAAGGTAAACGCATATCACATTGTTGTAGTCAACTGAGTTGATGGTAATTGAGCTATCACTTCACCAGAGATTCAAATAAAACACAAATGTACTTATAGTAAATAACAGGTAAGCAAACACCTAGCTAGAGGTTTAGAGAGACCATAAACACGCATACAGTAACTTAATATGATACAAACTTAACTCTGATTATCTTCTTCAAATATAGAACTGAAAAACTGTCAATAATTTGTTTGCTGTTTAAATTGTGAAAGTTATTATATAGTCATTATTAAAAAAAAGTGTAAAAATGTTCCTACCTGAGTAAAGTGTTGGTCCTTGGGAAAACTACTTCCGAAAATGATACAACTTTGATTGGTTTTTAGGTAATGCTGCTCAATAATTGGTAAAGCAGCATAATCCTCCGTTATTAACAGAAGATAGCGAGAGCTTAAACAATGGGTTTTACTTGTCTTATCAGAAGTTGATCGATGTTCATAACATGGACATTTATCAGCAAAACTATCAGCAATCAAATGCAATGCAGATATATCTACATCTGCATCTTTTGTCTAAATGGTATTTTATATGAATAATTTATATAATTAGTCATAACTCAAAGATAAAAAAAAAAAAATATTATCTTTAGCACAAATAATATTTAAAGTAATTAATTAAAGTAGATTTAAGTACCTCAAAAAAATTGCATGGAAGAAAAGACCTAAAGATATTCCATGTGTCAAGTTCCTGAAGTCCACTGAAATTTCTTTTGACTGCATGTTCAATATCTGAATATGTAGGTATATTATTGCGTTTTCGGGCAAAGCAGAGTACTAATTTTAACAAACTGAAAAAGAATTTATTTATTTAAAACACTAAAAGTAAATCAATATAATAAAATCAAAAAAAAAAAAAAAATTATTATTACTAATTCAAACTCACTTATAAAATTCACATCAACTAATGTTTCAGTATGGGAAGGTACAAAAATATGAAAAAAAAACTTTGCTTTTATTATTATTATTTTTTTATTTTCTTTATTGTCTGAAAAACTATCTGGTTAAAGTCATTATTAAAAAAGTCAAAGCAGAGAAATAAGTTGAGTTTGGTATTTATATATATATATATATATATATATATATATATATATATATATATATATATATATATATATATATATATATATATATATATACATGTATATGTATATATATATTTTAACAGCATATTTTTATTTATTATGTCAATAAAAATCTTATTTTGCTTAAAAAATGATTAAATTCCTCATTCAATCACCAACATTGTGTGTGCGTGTATATATATATATATATATATATATATATATATATATATATATATATATATATATATATATATATATATATATATATATGTTTATATATATATATATATACACATATATATATATATATATATATATATATATATACATATATATATATATATATATATATATATATATATATATATATATATATATATATATATATATATATATATATATACACATATATACAGTAGAATCCCGTTAACTCAGACACTGGATAAGTCGGACTTTTAGACCGTTAAGTCAGACCCTGGATAAGTCGAGCAAATTTTCATTTCCCTTTGAATTCTCTATACACACCAAAAGTTTCGCTTAACTTGGACATTCGCTAAGTCTTACAAAATGTATACCCGTTCAGAGTCCAAGTTAAAGGGATTCTACTGTATATATACATACATACATATACATAAATATATATTGGGTTAATCAAAATATATATTAACATATATATATGTGTTTTTTTTCATTATATATTGTTTACCAGTTTGCATGTTTGCTTGTGTGTTTTTGTTGTTGGTAAACTATTTCTTGTGAAATGAAGCAAAACAGATCATTAATGAACTTGATTAAGTATAAGATTTACTTTGATCAACAAAGCTTTTTTATTAGCAAATTTAACACATTCTATTAATTTTTATTTTGGAAGAACTAAAATTTTTGTAAGATTTTGGTAAGCTGTTAATAATACTCCTCCTTTTTATCTTTTTGAAAATAGTAATCTCTATTACATGTCATTTTTTTTAAAAAAAATATAATGGTTTTGAATAGGGTAGTTTTCACAAAGGTTTGTAAAATTATTAACAGCAAGGTTTGTAAAATTATTAACTTTTATATGTTTTATCATTTACGTTTAAATTGGGTTTTAAGTTAAACGCAAAATGTATGTGTATATGAAATATAAATTGTTTAATGGGAAAGCATTCTTTTTTTTTTAATAGATTGATAACAATTTCAATCACAGTTTTGAGACTATAATTCATGTGGAAAAAAGTTATATGAGACCATAAATGTTACACAAAAAATTTCTAAATAAAAATTATGAAAATGTATTTTCAATATTTATTAACATTAAAAAAAAAATAAAAACTCTTTTTAATTGTTCTAACTATTTAACTGTCAATTATTCAACAAATTCGTAAGAGATTTTTTAGTTTTTATTTTATTAGTAATATTCTAAAATAAGATTTTAATAAATCAAACTTTGATAACTAGTTTTTAGCCATTCAATTATTAGATTAATTTTTGATATTCAATTATAAAGTTTATTAAAAAAATATTTAAATTAGAAAAAGAATTCGTGGTATTGTGGTACCAAACAAGGTACAAACAAGAACTTGTGGTATTGTGGTACCAAACTTTTATTTCACAAAATTAAAAAAAATTAATCAGCAAAATTAGAAAAAAAATTTATACGTTACCTGTAAAAATCTCTTAATCCAAAAAATTCTTCTTTTCTATACTTTTTTACAACATCACATTTATTTTGCCTTTCATAAACTTCTAAGTATCTTTTGTTAGAGGTTCAAATAAAGATGCAATCTTTTCAAAAACGTATTTATCATTTGAACATATATTTCTAAAAAATTTGAGTAATTATAATAAAATAATCAATTTTTTAAAAATTTAAATAAATTTTAATTGGTTAACCCATTAGTGTCAAATAAATTCCTTTTTGAGTTTTTATATGAAAGTTATTGTAAATGTAATGTAATGTAAATGGGGTGCAAATATTATACACGAAGAAATTTTTTATTTATCCTCAATATTTTTGTTCCAAAACGCCCCGAAACACTAAACAGTCCTTTTAAGGACATATTGACACTTTGCGTAAATAAAAAGTAAATACTTAAAATAATGTACATATTTGTACAAATTAAGTTTACAGAAAAAGGAAAAAATTGCTAACTTGACTACATGAATGGAAAAATTATAAAATAAAATCAAAAACACTATTCTGAAATATAATTTATAGCTAAACTATGTGAAATTATTATTTTCAGTGTTTTCAAAGCAACCAGGAGGAAGAGCTACGTTGTAATTTTTGCACCTAAATTGCATTGTCATGACAGTATTGGCAAACTCCATTTACTTCTGTTTTTATAACGAAGTGAGGCCTGGTTAGGTTGTACCAAAAAAAATTTTCATCTTAACTTCTGAATTAAAAGATATTAAAATAATAAAGAAACTTTTTTTTTGAAAAATACTTCAAATAATTATCATAAAAATCAAAAACCTGATTGCCTGTCTGCTGTTGGTAGATAGCCTGTATACCTTCTCTCTCTTTTTATTTTTTAAAAATACTTTTATTAAAAGATAAAACTAATATGTAAAATGGTTTGTTTTTTGTTATATTCTTACCATTTAAATGTCAGGCAACTTATCATCATTCCTATTTATTAGAATCTCTGCTTACTGGTTAAGAATACCAGCTCCAAAATGATTTATGTTCTTACCATTTTCTCCATTTTCTTTATTGCCACTGTCTTAGTCGGTTAGGGTTTCATCCACAGATAGAACCACTACAATCTCAATAATATCTGCCACATCCTGGTTCTCTAACAAGGCTGCTATCTTATTAAAAGTCAGGCCAACTTGTCTAAAAAAATGTATTTAAAATGTTTTTTTAATTTATTTAGCTTTTTGTCTAGAAAAAATATTTGGTAAAGATATAGTTAATTATTAAAAAAATTAATTTGAACCATTCAATATTTAAGATGGATTCCTGATAATGACGACATGTCTTTAAATGTACATGTAATGTTTATCCAGTTATATTTAGTACAAAATTAAATGCTATAAATCAACTTATTAGTCTTTAATGTAGTTTATGCTATCATTTTTATTAAACAGTAATAAAAATAACAATAGGTTACCTCTTAGAACGGGTTTTGTAAAAAAGCTTCTTGCTAATCCACATATTTTTTTTTGCATTAAATTTGAGCTGTTGCCTCTAATAAATGAGCTAAGCTAACCGATTGCAGTTAACCGATGAGCAAGAGGTATGTGTCTAAAACCACTTTGCAAAATTTATATACATATCCTTTTAAAAACTTATAAAATATACTAGTTTTATTTGGGCATAGTTTATGTCCTTTAAAGGACGTCCAACACTAATGGGTTAATTATTATTACTACATTATTATTAAATAATAATAATTAAATGTTACTGGTCATTGTTTTCACACGTAAAATATATAAACTTGTTCTTTCTATTTATTAGTCTATTTGTTTTTATACTTTCTAGTAAATTATAGAAATTAATTGACTTATTATTACTATGTTAACAACTATATTCAGCTACGCTGATACTTTAACATTTTATTGTAATCTTCCAAAAATAAAGAGAGAGCTAGGTGATTAAACGTTTACTAGTTTTATGGCTTTATTCAACACAGAGCTTATTAGAATCCTAACATTGTTTATTATTATTAAAAATATTAGAGATCTAACACTGTTTATTATTATTAAAAAATAAAAAGTTTTTGACTAAAATCTTTTTACTTTAGGATAAACTAAAAGAAAATTAACTCTTTACAGTGTTAAATGCACCAACTTGATTACATAAACACACATATAACATATTTAAATTTGTGCATCTATATCACATAAATACATCATCCAATTAATTTAAAAAAAAATGAAAAATGTAAACATTTAGTAAAAATGTGCATTACACATTAAAGCTGGAAATTTTATTTGTTATATACAATAACAACTTTTGTTATATACAATATCATATATCAACTTCTGTTATATACAATAACAAAAAAAAAGTGTGTGTGGCGTTCATAGGATTTTTTTAGGTTTTAGTTAAGGTACTTTACACACTGTGCAAACTCAATAAATCAAAATATGCAATATTGCATAACACATAATGCACAATAAAAAACCTTAACTTTGAGAATATTTTTGAAAAAAAATGTTTACATAATTCTATTTTAAAATAAGATTTGTTTTAAAAATACTATTTTCTATATTTATACTTTGTTTTTATCACACTTGCTTAATTACTTTCCTAACTATGTGAGTTAGTTAGGAGAAATTCCATTACAAACAAAAATTCATTTTTAATGAATTTGTAATACTTTTCATATATTCTTACCAGGTTTAAATATATTAAAACATGAAGATTAAATTTTTCAAAATATTTTTAAAAAACAAAGCAAATAAAAACTTTTCACAACTGTTGCATAAATGTGGAACAATATAGGTATTTTTTTTTCTAAATAAGTTGTGTTTAAGCTATTTTTGTTTACTACAAAATACTTTTTTATTTGTTTACAGACATAAAATACTCAACCTGTAGCATTTGACCTGTATTTTTGACCTGTAGCATTTGACCTGTAGTAATTGATACAAATGTATACAAACAAGTGTATACACTACACTCATTTTTACCTAAGATTTATTTTGTAAATGATTATAGTATAAATTTATATTAGGGATTGTCCATAAATTATGCAACACTAAATTTCACTAACAAACAAAATAAATGAGATAAAAAGTTTTCTCTCACAGAGCCTTAGTTTAAATAAAAAAGCATTATGCCCATTAGGTTTAATGAAAATCATTGCGTAAAAGAACTCCTATTTTTATTTTTAAATATATTTAGTGTTGTGTAGTTTATGGTGTTTCTCTAAGTAACATTAAATAACGCTAACTAACATCTTTCATCCATATTTCTGATAATGATGGAAATATTTATTCTTATTAGGAATTGTAAATAAACATTAGTCATAGAATGCTGGCGCAGTAGTTATTTTAATCTGTATGGCCTATCTTTTATTCAAACAACTTATAATTATCAAATAATCAATTATTTTATCATTTCATAATTAATTTTATAGAACGTAAAAAATAAAGAAAAATAAAGATCTAAATGAAAGTTAACTAAACAATTTAATTTTACAGAAATTCGTTGAGTAGCAAAGAAACCAACAGTAAATAAATCATGATGTATAAGGCCAGTTTAGAAATATTCGACTATCAGGAGATCTGGAATTGCTTTCATTATTGGCTGAAATAAAACAATCAAAGTTTTTAATTTCAGCACATACGTTTCTAGTATATTAAATCCTTTATGAATGTATTTATATAATGTCCTAAATTTTTTTTGATCCTAACTTGACAAACAGTTATATAACAAAATTTTTTTAACTTATTCTTTTATTGCGCTCACTCTCCAATTAGTTTAGAGTTGGACTATTAGTGTCAGTAAAATAATTTGTTTCATCAAGAAAAATTACAGAAAATAATTACTGAATAGATTTACTATAACAACATTTATGATTTAACTTCTATTGTCTTTGAAAAAAACCTCAGGATAACTAAGTTCAGGAGAGATAAAATAATCAGATATTTCATAACAATATTTCACTATGTTTTTCTCCTAAATATTATTGGAAAAAAATGCAAAATTTAAGATACCTTGCAGTTTCAACTAGTTCATTAAAATCAGGCTGTCCTCTAAATAGCATAATTCCTCTATTCATTTTTGCAGGGTCAAGGGACCAGTTTGAAATGCCAATAAATGCAACACTTTTGTTTTTAAGAGATGAGCCATCAAATGTAAGTTCTTCAGAACCATCAGTACCATCTTCTAACAATGGATACAATGCTTTAAGAGGCATACGGGGAGAATCTTCTGCAAGACCAACCTCATCTAGTACAACAACAGAAGTAAAGGTTTCAAGATCCTTTTCTTCTTGATATCGACTACACTGTTTGAATGTATTTATTATTCCGTCTGCTGTTGAAAGAGGACTGCATTGGTATGAACACACAAAAATCTATTAAAACAAATAATAAATAAATTAAAAAACATTTGAATCATAATAAATAAAAAATAATAAAGATTTTAACTTCTCAACAATTTAACTCTGTTCTATTAATCTAATTTACAAAATATTTAACACTTCAAGTAAAAAATTCTTAAAAGCAGTTTAAAAACAGTTTAAATTTAACATATATAAACACTGTTTATATATGCAACATATATAAACTATTAATTTTTTTAAAAACTCAAAATAGTACACCTGCTTAAAATTTTTAAACAAACAAGATTTTGACAAGTTTCCTTGCATACAGTCTTGAATGATGGATTTTGCTAAAGACTTTGAACTTCCAGGTTTTTCAACAACAAATAAAGGGATTCGCAATTCATTGCAAATAACCATCATAAACACATTCTCACATAAAGCTTCGTTTTGTGCAATATTATCTTCAAGTTTTATTTCTTTTAAAAACATTTTTTGGAGACTGAAATTTATATAAAACAAATAATTAACTGTTAAGCATAATAAATAAAAATTTAACTATAATAAATATACGTGAAAAATGTTATTTAAAAAATTTTCTAAGTAAGAGTTCAAATATTTAAGTAAAATAAAAAAAAGTAAAGATATTAGAAAAATTTGTTTTTACATTTTGCAGTATAATAAAAAAAATTGAAAGTTAACCTTTTATTAACAATCGCTTATAATTAATACTTAATTTAATGCTGCTGCCTATTAGTGCGCGTTTACACAGACTTTTTTACCATTTATTATAAATACGATTTAGCATTCTCAATCTTTTTATACTCTTGAACTTAAGCAATGAGGTTATCTCAAATCCTAATAACCTGTCAATATCTGCTTAATCTGTAATAAGATCGAAAGTTTAACTTCATCAGCTTAATTAGTAATAAAATCAACAATTTTTAATTGATAACTTCTGTAGTAAAGGATGAACCTTATGTTATTTTCAAATTAGTTAAGTAACTTTCAAAGTCAGTTAAGTAACTTTCAAAGTGTTTATCTCCAAAACCCTTGCATCTCACACAGTAAACTCTATGTTAAAAAACAAAATCGTTTAATACCTTATTTTAAAGAAGTTAAAAAAAAAATCTGTTTGCTTTTATATAAAAAAACCAGATCATTTGTTTTTGCAAGTTGTTAAACATTTATAACAAGGTATGTCATTAAACAAGTATTAAAAAAAAAGGTTGTATTTGTAAAGTTTCTAAATTATATTTTTTTTCTTAGTTTATATATTTATTTATATTTGTGTGATATTTATATGTGTTAAGGTTATATGGGTTTATATTTTATAAGTGTGTAAATATCTTTTATATATGAGTGTTTCTATGTTTGTGATATAATGTAATTTGTTTATAGTTTGTAAGTGGTTATTATGTTGTTTGCATGGTTTTAAATTGTTGTGACTTAATTAGTTTACAGCAAGTGTGTTGACCTTGCTAGCCAAGTAGTGTACTTTGCTATAATGTGAATTGGCTTTGTTGGGAGCAAGATTGTTGTCCATACCAGTTAAGTGGTGTACTGTCATGATGAAAAACTTGAAGTTAGTATACCTAGTGGTACCAATTGAAGTGCGAAATTTTAATTCAGTAAAAAAATTTAAGAGAACATGTTTTTAATGCAAGAACAAATGTAATATATACATATTATATGCATGTTATGTTTTAGTTAAATGCTAAAGTATGCATTAATAAAGAGAGTCCTCAAAATAACCCCCTTTTTCCCTTATGCACGCCTCCAGTCTTGGACGCCATTCCTTGATTGATTTACGCACGGTATCCATGGATAAAGCATCCTATTCTCTGAGAAGTGATTGCTTGAGGGCATAACGTTTTTTGACAGAACCACTATCATTATATTGCTTAATAGTACGATAGACAAAATCCTTTGATATTCCTTTATGCTGCAGCATTTTGAAAATCTGATACGGTTTTCTCTTCCCGTCTAATAATGCTATAACTGCACACCCCTTTCCTTCCATACTATCCATTATGAAAAAATCTACAAATAAACACACAAATAAATTAATAAATTCCAGGAATCTATTCAAACAATACAAATAAATGCGGGAACTATATAAAAAGCACATGCCTGTTAACATGACAAGTTTAAACAAACTTCGTACTCCAATTGGTACTACAAGGTATAGTCATAAAAAAGTTTTGAAAAAATATTGTTGAAAGAATGTGTTTATAAAGAATGTTAAAAAGATGTATAGTTTTTTAATATATGTAATTTTTTTAATATTTATAATTTTAATTAAGTTTTATTGAACAGATTTATACTTCATTAAATATTTTTTATACTGTTACGTTTTGAGTAAATTAAAATCTTTTAAGCAATTTTTTAATTAAATTAAAAAATTGCTTAAAAGATATATACTCTGTAAATTTGTTATATACTCCTTTTTACTTTTACATAGCTCCTCCCTATTTAAACATTTAAGTATCTTTATTTCCTTCAAGAAATATATTTAACATAAGTTTATTGTTTGTTTTTTTATAAAAGTTTAACATAAGTTTAACATAAGTTTAACATAACATTTAACAATATTAAGATAAGTTTAACATAAGTTTATTGTTTGTTTTTTTATAAAAGTTTGTGTTACATAAGTTTTAGTAACTTAGAATTTTTCATACATAGAGAATGTTTTCTCCATAATAATATTTTAGTGTTTTATATATTGACTTATTTTCTTTAGAATATTAAATATATAAAAAAAATTAAAAACAGTTCAAGAAGTTTTAATATTTTCAAGTTTCTTCACTTAAAGCAAATATATGATTGTTTATAGAGGTTTTCTATTAATAGTTGTGTATTTACTTATTAATTGCAAATCTCACATTAAATGTGTTTCAAAGTAATGAAAAGGGAATTTATTACATTTAACCATTAAATGCAATATTTGCTGAGCAGACAGAGAAACAACATAATTTTATAATTTTTTGAATTTGCTTTATTTATGAGTTCTTATCTGTTAAAATTTGGTAACTTTTAATAATTACTTTCAATTTTTTTTGTGATCAAATCCTAATAATATTTTGTCAATAATTATTAATAACTACATTAAATTTATAACATTACTCAGTTATCAATTAATCAATTTCATATCAATTTGTTTATAACTTTAGTTTAAATTATTGATAGAAACATGATATCTTTACACATTGGTATTGTATTTTAAAACATCTAACTTAAATATGACTAATAATAGAGGTAGAATATAATTTGATTTTTAAATTATACTCTGTTTTATTTGCTTACACTTTATTTAAGATACGTTAAGAAAGAAAACTAAAAGTTCAATCTTAAAATAAAAGTGCAAATTTTATCAAGCATCATTTTTACACACTTCTTTGATGCTTAGTTATATCTGATAATTAAAGAAGTAAAATTATAAGGCTTCGTTAAAATTAAAGAAACCAGGCTAGGCGAATTGAATTTAACCGTTGCTAAAATGAAAGAGATGAGCTTAGAGGTTAGCTGAGGTAAATTGTCGTTGAAATAAAAGAGATAAGTCTGGGTGAGCTGAAATAAACTGCCATAGAAATAAAAGATAACAGGATAGGTATTGTAATTCCTTTTTATCTTTTGCTTCCTTCACAGCCAAAATACCTCATATCAAAAATAATTGCCCATTCTATTTTAGGGTTTATGGGCAAATTTTGCATCATGTTAGAAATTTAAGGCCTGAAGAAGGTTTTCTACCCACGTATTGTCAGTTAAATATATATGAACCAAATGTAGCAGCTTCATTCAGAATGGAGCAACCTGGTAATGGTGGTTGTATAAATGAGTTAATGGAACTCTTACAAACTTTAAATATTCAAGAAAACCTATTTGCTTCTAGAGGTAAAGGAGAAAAATGATGATGGCACAATTAACTGGAGCATCAAGTTACTTTGTCCCAGTGTTATAGTTATAGGCTTGCTGTTAGACAATTTCCTAAATACAAAATAATTAGTCCTATATAATTAATATTTAATTTAATGCTGTTTACTCATTTGTGCGTGTTACTCATTTGTGCGTGTCACTCATTCGTGCCATTTGTTACGCTTGACCATATAATATATTACTTTATATTTTTGACCACATTATCTGTTTAGTCAGATTTTGGAGTTTTCAAGTAAATAAATAGAGTACATAACAAATTATAGTGTATTAAGTGTATTTATTAATAATTTTCTTTAATTTTTAGGTCGAACTCCTTATCCTGTGACTGAAATGTTCTGAATGTTGAGTGTATTCAAAAAGCTAAAACAAAGCTTTATAATTTTCATACCATTTACTAGAAGATTTATAATAATGAAAGAATGTATCAAATTAAATTGTTTTTATGATCATTTTTGAATATAAAATATATATATATATACATTTTTTCAAGTTTATTTTATTATTTTATCTTAAGAAATTTTTTTTGTTTGTTTCTCAAATAAATTTCTATATTTTTTATCTTTGGAGTTATTGTTTTGAATGGATATATTGGCTATTTTTGCTTTGTTTTTTTATTCCCATTATCTTTTTATATGTGAAAGGAAACCATTTATACTTTTATCACATCTTGTACGATCAAGATGGTTTCCATTTCCATTAGGTATTGATCGCACAAACAACAGGTTTAAACATTTATTTGCCTAATTCCGCAGTAAAAACATTTATATGGTATGAATTTGTCGAGTTTTTTTACAGAAAGGCTTTTATAAAAAATATCAAACAGATAAAGCTAACTTATTCGAAATAACTTTTTTTTGGCCTGTTTTTTAATGTCCAAATTTGCTTTTTAAATAAATTCTTATGAGAGAGTAATATTATTATCACCTAAGTTTCCAAAAACAACTAAAGAAAATGTTATGCAACTGTCTTATATGCTAAAGATACTTTTATTATGTAGAAAATATTAAAGTAAATAAGTAATAATTTAATAAGTAAATATACTAATTAATTGTAAAGTATAGTAAATTAAAAATTAACCAAATGGCAAGAACTTAAGGTAGTCAGTAAAATGCAAACTGCGTTTTAATGAACCAAGACATTTTAATGACCACAACAGTCATGATATTCAAAACATTAGCTCAACAATTTTTTAAATTAAATATAATGATATTCGATATGTTTTTCTTAAATTAGCCTTTTCTTTTTAATTAATTATAATTTAACAAGCAATAGATTTATTGTTTGCAATAAAAGTTTGCATTTTACCAATTACCAGAACTTTAAATTGATTTATTTTTTGCCGTTTATCAAAATAAATCTAAGTATAAATACTAAGGAACAAGTTTAGAAATAGTTGGGTGTGGATTAGACTTGCCACAACCCGTATCATACCGGTCATAACAACTAGTATTTATTTAATAACACTTTACAATGCTTTTATTAAAATAATTGTTTCTTCTGAGAGATTTTATTTAGGTAATGTTTTCTTTAAAAATGTAATGATTTTTCATAAATCATAAATTTTAATTGAGAATTAATTTTAATTAAGAAAAAAACAATATTTATTTTTATTATTAATATAGTAGCATAAATTGTATATTATAATTTTATAAATATACATTTTATTTATTATTTCTTTTATAATGATTTATTAACTAATTAAAAACACCTTTACCTAATAACTTTGTCTTTAATTTCTTGATCACCATTTTCTAATTTAAATTGACCAGTAAAGAACTTAGAAATATATATACGATAAGAATCACGATCTTCTAATTTTGCCATATAACATATACTTAATGAGTAAATTACTGCCAACTGCATTTTTTTATAAATAGTGAACTAAAAATAAAAAATCATTAAAAAAAATTGTTTATAAAAGTGACCAATTGTAATTGAATTACTTAAAATTGTGATGAATGTTTTTCCTGATTTTTTTTTCAATAGAATTTAAATTCATACTTTTTTTAATAGCATTACAAAACATGCTATAGAACATTATATACTTTTATATTATATAATAGCATTGAAATCTTATTACTTAATGAATTATAAATACTATTTATCATTAAATTTGTCAAATTTATAGTGAATTTCAAAAAAATTTATTATGTTTTAGAATTAAGAAACTGTAGTAATAACACTAATGACAACATTTTTCATTAAATATTTTTCTTTTAAAATATAAATTGTTTTAATTGGAGACTTAGTAATAATGTTAACTCTTTCTAAATTTAACAAGCATTTAATGTTAAAAAAAATAAATATATTTTTTTAAAATTGAAATAGTCACAGTACATAATCTAAAATTCAAACAAAAAAGGAAATATCAAAAGAACACTAACAAGGAACATTGTTGTACATATTGATTGAGTCTACGGTATGTTGTATCAAAGCCTTTTTACAAGTTTTACATCTGATCATGGCATTTAATTGTTAAAAATTATCATCGGTCCAGCCTTCTACCTACATTTCTAGTTTAAGTAATGGTCAAATACCCTCAATAGGACACACTTTAGACACATTTGGTTGATTAATATCTTTTGTTACAGTTTTTTTTTTTTTTTTTTTTTTTTTTTAATCTTAATTCACCTTCTCTAGGCCGAGGCCACTACAGACGAGGAGGCTACTTATTTGTGGTTATAACCCTCTCTCAACTCTATCACTCCGAAACACAAACCTTGACAAACAAGGCCGCTGTGCCGAGAAACGAGTTGAGTGCGGTACTACCAGGGACATGGTGGGGATCGAACTCAGAACCACTCGTTTATGAAGCGAGCGCTCTACCACTACACCACTACCGCATTAAGTTACAAGTATTGTAAAATTTAGATTTTTGTTGCATCTAGATTCATGCCTTTTAGATAGTGGTACTTTTAGTACTTGTAGCCAATCTGTGACTGATTTAGCATAATTGATATAACTAAATCAAGCCAAAATACATATTTACTACTACTGTAATTTTTATGAACAAATGGGACAAAGCCCTTAATTATAAACTTGTTTAGGTTCTACTTGACCAAATGTTTTCTTTTAGTAAATTAAACAAATAGACAAACAACAGCTTTAAGCCCAAACAATATATATTTTTTTTAATTCTTGACATCATTATGTTTCTGCTAACTTAAATAATCAGAATCTATTAACAACAGTTAAGAAATATTAACACACAAAGACATAAAGAAGTGCTGACTATTTAAAAAATTAACTTGTTATGAGGTTAGTTTTTATTTCAATTAAAAAGAAATTAACATATGTTTGATTGTGTTTTATAAATTGGCCAATTTGTATACATTATGTAATACATTATAAAATACATATAAATAAAATTTTCTTTAATACAAATTTACATTCATAATAGGTTTTAGTTTATGTAGAATATTTATATTTTTTAAAAAGTCTTAGACAAATGAAATTATATCAGATAAAAATGCAATAAAATAATATAACATTTAATTATCTTACTTTGTTATCATCATTTTTTAAAAATATGTCCATTCTTTTGTAAAACCAACTTATTACTATTAATTATTACTTATTACTTATTACTATTAATTATTACTTATTACTATTAATTATTACTATTACTTATTACTCTTTCTACGTCTCTCAAACTGACAAAGCTGCACTCATCCTAAGCAAAAACACATATAAAAACATGTTAAACAAAAAAATTCATCTTAAAAAATTTTTTAAAAATTCAATTTACTTATAAAAATAGGTTAAGCACAGTTTGTTGCTAAGTTTTTCTATTCCCCTGATTAATTCAAAAATAATAAAGTAAAATATTTTTTTTTAGACACGATTATTTAAAAATAAGTATAAAAACAATTTTAAACACCTAAAAATCAATTTGATTAAAATAAAAGATTAAATCACAAGCTACTAGTTATAAAAAAAATTAACAATTGAGACCTGGTTCCCAGGTATATTATAAAATACAGGGACAATGTTTACGAATTTACCTATAACTTTAAACTATATCTGAATAATATATATATAAGGATTTATAAGTTTAACTTAATTTATTTTATTATATTTAAATTAAATTAATTAATAAATATTAATTAATTTAAATCTATTTTATTAAACTTAATTTAACTTTTTTAGACAAAGTTTTAACAATTTTTAAACAATTTTTTTTTTTACTGCATTTTAAAGTAACTTGAATCTTGAATTTAATTTATGAAAAATTCTTTTTAATAAATTAAATTCAAGTAACTTTAAAATGTTTGTAATCATATTTTTTTATTTTTAACCTTGTTACAAAAGTGCTAATATACAAAAGTGCTTAATGCACAATTAAATGCATATAAATATGTTGCCAGATAAACCATAATCAAGTCTTTAGGCAAAATTTATTAGATTTATTAAAAATATTTTAGATTATTTACTATTTACTATTTATTTATAACACTATTTTATTATATTTTTTTATTTTTTTATTTATTTTGAAATTGCTTTAAAGCAAAAAAATTTCTTTATCATTAATTTTTGAATTGATGATAGTATGAATGTCGGTTAAAAATGATTAACTAGTTTATGAGTAGTATTGCCAAAATGTTAAAAAAAAGATTAAAGCAAAAATGTTTAAAAAAATATTAATATGTTTTTATTTATTTTTTGACTGTTAAGAAATTCAACATTAAACAATTGCCCTCATTTAAAAAATATTAACATGAATGTTTTAAGAAAAAAATAGTATAAGTTTAAATTTTTTAATTTAAAAAGTTTTTTAAAATAATTCTTATTTTAAAAAACTTTTTAAAATAAAAATTATTTTTTTTTAAACAACATAATTAAATTTTATTTATAATTTTATTAATAACAATATTATTTAATTTAAAAATATTTTGTAAATACTTTATAAAGATAAAGACACATTAAAAAAGATTTTTAATGTGACTTTAAATTTAATTTAATTATAATGCAGTACTTTAAAATATGCAACTGACATAATTAAACCTTTAACAATGTAAATATGTTTATTAAATAAAATATGCAACTGACATAATTAAACCTTTAACAATGTAAATATGTTTATTGAATAAAATATGCAACTGAGATAATTAAACCTTTAACAATGTAAATATGTTTATTGAATAAAATATGCAACTGACATAATTAAACCTTTAACAGTGTAAATATGTTTATTGAATAAAATATGCAACTGACATAATTAAACCTTTAACAGTGTAAATATGTTTATTGAATAAAATATGCAACTGACATAATTAAACCTTTAACAGTGTAAATATGTTTATTGAATAAAATATGCAACTGACATAATTAAGCATTTAACAATGTAAATATATTTATTGAATAAAATATTATAACATGATACAGATACAGCTGATACAGATTTTAGAATGATAATGGACATCAAAAGATTGGAAATCTTGGAATCATACATTTACAAAAGTAAATGTATGAGCCCAACAGAAACATCATCAGTTTTCTCACCTAGAGACTCAACACCAGTTGTTTTTCAAGGTGAAATACGTTATTTATTTCTCAAGGAGAAACAACTGATGATGAACGATTGATTTGAGGTTGATTAAGCAGAAAATATAATCTTTTTTTGCAGAATGATAAATAATGACTTATTGACAAATATTGATGATTGAAATGTTAAGAGATAATTTTTGATGGATTAAAACAGACTAGTATTTTAGAATAAACAGAATTAAAAACAGTGCGGAATAATAAAGTTAAATAATTATTAAAAGAAATAATTAGCACAATTCACAATATCCACAAAAATGACTTAAACTTAACATCAAACTATTGTAAAGATATTTAGAATGCTCAAAAGTAAATGTGAGTACAACAACAACAACACATGTCAGGTTATTAAAACAATTATGTCCTACATCTTCTTTAAAATAGCCATTATCATTCATATAATATATGTTGAAAAAGCAGCTATCATTATTAATCAATATTATGTCAGAAATTCAATTTACTTAAAAAAATCAGCAAAGGTTGTAACAGGGACTCAAAATTTATTAATTATCTACTCAAAAAAAAAAAAATTTAATTGATAATATGATAACATTTCATTCCAGATTAAAAAAGTTTAACATTAAAAGTTATTTTGCCACAGCTAGTAAAATACACATTGTTTGTATGTAAAAGAAATTAACTTAATATTTTTTAAATTCTTCTTAAAAAAAATTGTTATTAAAGAATTTTAACCAAAATATATAAATAACCACTGCAATCTATGTATTATATATATTACATCTATGTTCAAGTTAACTAAATCCTTACAAATGTAAGGATTTAGTTAACTTGAACATAGATGTAATATATTGAAAGAATATGTCCAAGAATTAAGTGATTGTGAATTGCAATATCTGGAATAATTCTTGAATTGGTCTTAAATATTTAGCTTTTTAAAAATGGTAAACACTATTTTTTCTACTAAAGTCAATAGCTGTTATTCAATAAAAAATATTTATATTGATCTTGAATTATGATATATAATATCATAATTCAATAGTATGGATTTATAATATTGTCATAAACCCATACTATTACTATTAGTTTTATTATTATCATTGTGATTTAATTATTTAAAATTAAAAATTATGATTTAATCTTTAATCATCAGATAAAATTAGAAAAGGGCAATGTAATATTAAAAAACAATGGCAAATCACACCAGAAATCTTGGTAGTTTTGTGACGACTCATACAAAACTTGCCTCTTAAGTGTTACGATTTTGTGATGAGGGGGAGGGGGAGGTCAAAATCTGTCAAAAAATGCGTGACGTAATTTATGGACGATCCCTAATTCAAACTTTTTATTGGTACTTTAAAACAAAACAAAAAAACTCTAATAACATTTAAAATATATATTAATAACTATTTTAAAATTATACATATTTATTATTACAATAAACTTATTTTAAACTATATCAATTGTTTAATTTTTTATAATCAATCAATTAATTTTTAATTTAAAACATTAAAATTTTTAAATAAATAATTCCTCAGATTTCCCTTTAACAAAAATCAATTTTAATGTTTCACATAATGCACAAATAGCTTTAGTATAATTTTTCTTTGTTGATTTTTAAATTACAAATTTTTTGTACTTTTAGTAACAGTTAATTTCCTCCTATAAATTTTTTATTTATTTATAATCATTTAATTACCTGGTGTTTAAGCAAACAATAATTTAAAAAAGACAAGTTTTAACTGTTATTATTTTTGCAGTAGTAAACTTATTTATTATTATTTTTTTTTTGTTAATTTCTACAATCTAATAAATTGACCATTTCATTAAAACAATGTTCATGGTTTTTAGTAAGCTGAGAATTTGATGACCAGAAATATTTCAAGATATCACAATTTGTTATCACTTAATTTGAGCCTTGTCACTATATTTTTATAATATATGCCACTATTTCAACCAAGAAACAATTAAAAAATTTAGACTTTTAGCGATAACTTTATAAACATAAAGAAAGAAGTTTTATTTCATAATTATAAATTATAAACATAAATTGTTTTAGAAAAACCATGTAATAGGAGGGGACACTTTTTGATTCGCTAAAATTTTTCTTTTTCATCCTACCTTAATGTGGAGGTATTTAGTAAAAGAATATTTTTAATGCTATAAAGTATAGGTTTATTAAAGAATTAATTCATTAACTCTTTACATCACAGGACAGCATACTGTAGTATGCGTCTGCCTGACATATGCTGCAATATAATATAACAATCAAATAAAAAAAGATAAATTATTAAGATTGAAAAGATCACTATTATCACTTTATCAAATATTCAATCAAATAAAAAAAGTATTTTTTATTTGATTGAATAAAATTAAGTGACTTGCTTTAATTATTGTATTGGTTTTACATTCTTGCAGACTTAAAAACCACTACTTGAAACTTCTATCAATTAGTAAAGCAGCCTATTACTATCCTAACTTCCTAGAAAAGGAACAAGAAAGCTTAGCAAATTGCTTCAGTAAATTCCTAGCATCAGGTTCCACTCAAAGGGATCACAAAAAAACTATTGAATTCAGTCTGTTGTTAGTTACAAAAAGGCTTTGATTTTTTGTGTTTGCTGTAAATGTGGACATTTACATACAGTGGTGGGTTGTTTGCCTCAGTAAACAATTTGGTTTTTGTTGAGAAACTGAAGCTATTTTCATACAATGATTTTATAATTGCTAACAAGCGAAATATAATTTGGTTCAACTCTCCATACAGCAAAAATGTTTCAATAAATATTGGAAAAGCCTTTTTAAAATTAGTTGACAAGCATATATATATATATATATATATATATATATATATATATATATATATATATATATATATATATATATATATATATATATATATATATATATATATATATATATATATATATATATATATATATATATATATATATATATATATATATATATATATATATATATATATATATATATATATATATATATATATATATATACATATATATACATATATATATATATATATATATATATATATATATATATATATATATATATATATATATACATATACATATATGTATATAAATATATATCTGTGAATATCATATTAAACCTTTTGCTTTCTCATATAAGCTTGGGATTCTTTAAGCACACAAACAATTAATTCAAAAAACAACTCGTCTTTAGGTATTTTTTCTTCATTTACCTGCAAAAAAAAAATAATTATTAACATTATAATATTATTAGGCAGTTGTTTTTCATTAATAAATATTAAAAATTTTTAAAATTAAGCTATTATCAAGCATCAAGATAAAGTCAACAAAAAAAGTATTTTTGTAATCTGCAACTAATATTGTATATATTTTGTTATTTTACAATATTCAATTAAATAATTCAAATCTCTCCTCTAATTCTCACTAAACAATTTTCAGTATAATTTTCAATAACCACATGAAATTTTTTTTTACCTAATTTTAAAATTGTTTTTAAAATTGAGTAATTGTTTTTCAATCACGTAGCTACCACGTAACCACGTAGCTATTGCATTAATAACAGCATAAATTTAACACATTTGGAATAAATATTTTTAGCAATATTTATAATCTATATGTTTAAAAAAGATGCAAAAAAGTAACATGCTATTTCTTTTTGGAAATTTATATCTCTATAAACCTTAGTGAAAACTTTTTATCCTAGATAAAGGTAGAAAGAAGTTCCTCTTTTGTATAACTGATAAAACTCAAATTTAAAATCTTTATTTAAAGTATTAAAAATTTTAAACCATAAATACTATTCTGAATATAAAAATGATAAAAAATGAATAAAATAAGCAAATGTATTAAATAAATACAGGAAAAAAAAAAAAATCTACTACTGATAACAATAACAAAAAGAACAAAAAGAATTTAAAAATATATTTAAATAAAAATAAGTTTAATAAAAAGAAAATATAAAATGTTAAAATTAAATAAAAAATTCAATTCAATCAAGAAATTATTGACACATGCTAGCAAGCAAATTTTTTAAAGTAATAACACAACAGTATTAAATATAAAATTAACCTAAACAATAGTATTATATTGATAAATTTTAAAAAAATAATTTTTTTCGCTGGAAATACATATAACTTTATAAAATAAAATAACTTAATGGAAATACATTTAATTATAATAAAATAAAATTAGTTAAATTATTTTTAATGGCAACAATTGTTAATTATAATCTCATTATGAGAAATGATTCCTGGCCTATGCAAACGTAATCACTAAATGATTAGATTGTGAATTATACTTCTTCGTCAGTTCTTTTGTCAAAATTATATAAAACTTTATAAAGTAATAACTATATTTTATAAAACATCTCCAAAAAAATAGTTATTGAAAAAAAAATGTTGGTGAATAAATTGATTTCATTAATTTATATTAGAAAACCATAGAATAAAACAAATAAACTAAAAATATATTTTGAAATAGTTATGACAATGGACAATGTTGATTTATTCTGTCAACATTAAACTATTAAATATAAGTTTTGCTAATTCTTCTTAATCATGTTGTAGAAATTCTTTTTCTCAATTATATGGTATAAAATTTAAAATAAAAACAAATAACTTATTTTGATAAAGTTTCTTGTTTAAAAAAGTTTACTTAAAATTGATATCAAAGAAATTTATTCTCAAAATATATCTTCATATAACTTTTTACACCCATCAAGAATCAAAATTAAATTCACCATTTCCAGTAAAATGTAATGAGTTACAAGCAAAAACAATGGGGTTGAACAAAACACCCTAATTGTTAACTTAGTAAACAACCATTGAAATTTGTAGGTAAGAGTGAAAAAATCAATTATACAGTTGGAAGTTGCATAATACTGTAATAGTTATTTTGGTTTAAGAGTAATGTATTATCTGTACAAAGATTGGTGTTAAGTTGTCCAGACAATGTAATATAAACAAAATTTCTATCCAGATGGATGGAAGATAAAAAACTTGTGCAGTTGTTAACTGGCACCTATGTTAAGGTATGTCATACTTTTAAAAAATTTTAATAAAAAATATACATATGTAGAGTTCTATGGTCAGCTACGCAATGAGCGCAACATGTTTTTAAAAATTTAACTGACTCATTTTATTATAATTTTTAATTTTTTTTTACGTTTACACTCAAATTATCCTTTTTTATTATTATTCACAAAAAAAAAAGGATAAGAAGACAATTTGAGTAAAATAGAAATAAAAGACAGCAGTCAGCTACGCATAGGGCAAAAAAGCTTGTTTTTTTAATTTAAAGTTTGAATTATTTTTTCTCCGAATCTATAATTTATTTTTTTTCAAAAAAAATTATTTCATTGAAGTTATATTTATAAAAAATTTTAAATATAATATTAATTACACGTCAAATAAAAAGTTTTCAAAAAACTATGCTATCAGCTACGCAACATGCGAATTTTTATTATAATTCAAATTAAAACCCAAAACAAATCTAAAACTATATTTATAGCTTGTATTTAGAAACAATAAAATTTATTTATAAAGTTTATAAAGATAATTTTACATTAAAAGAAACCTGGACCCGGGGTGGAAAAGGGGGAGGAGGCTTTAGAAGCTTCAGTACTCTCACTTTTTTAAATAATGGGACTAGGGGGTAGGTAATACAATTTCCTTTTAAATGTACTCTTGATATTTTTATCTGTTCACAACCTTATTATATAAACGTTTTTAACTCAAAGATGTATATAAATACATTCATTTTACTTGCATTTACTTTGGAACTTTGATCTTCAGAGCTTTAAAAGCATCAAATATTTGGACAATAATTGAACAACTAAAATAACTTAAAAAGCAACAACTAGAAGTTCTTTAAACGTGAAAGCTGTTGTTGCTGATCGAAATGTATTAGGGATAAACTGAATAAACCTTCCGAGCTTAGTTGCGCAAAAAAAGTTGCCCCAAGAAAACTTGAAAAGTATTGAAAAAGATAAGTAAGACTTTCAATAGAATAACAATAACAGGTAAAAAAAAAAGTTTTAAAAAATCATGCAGTCAGCTACGCAACAATCAGCTACGCAAAACAAAACAAATCTAATATTTATTTATGGCTTTTATTAAGAAATTTTTACAGCTTTTTAAGGTGATTTTTAAATTACTTGATCACAGCTAAATGTCTAGACGCTTCTATTCCTTTGATATTATGCAATATTTGGTGAAAGCTGCTCACCTACAACGTTACCGTCTAAAACCTAAAAATGTTGAAAAAACCGCAACAAACAATTTAAAACAAAAAATTTTTAAATTGTTTGTTGCGGCTGCCAAATCGCTACCACTAGAAATTATATATTTTTTAGTTAAAACATTTTTTCTGGCAACACATTTTACAGTGGCTCTAATTCCATCCACAAATCCTTTTCCATGCATTGCAGCAAAAAAATGCCAGTGCATTTTGATTGTATGCTTTTTTCTCAAAATTTTCATTGATGCCAAAATATATTTATTTTTAAATTGTGATGTTGCGTTATCACTGAAAATATGAACTTCTGTAATATCGTCTGATAGAAGCTCGATAATTTTATTTATGTTTGGAACAACAGATAATTTTGTATGATCGCTTGAATCACAAACTAGCGCAAAAGATTTAATTTGACGATGCCAAACTGCACATGTAAATATAGAAATGTGATTTTGACCGAAATGAGCTGCTTGCGTTTCGTTTTAGTAAATACAAGTATAATTTTCTGCCCAGTCAACTTGAATAACAGCCTTATTTGAGTCTTTTTGAATCGCTGATTCTATATTAAATTTAAATACGGACGATTTACTGCTTTTGACATTACAATGAATAATAAACTTTGCACGCATTTCTTTAATATGTGACAATAAAACTGCAATTGTTCCTTCTTTTTTTCATTATGAGGAATTGATGATACACATCGAACGTAAATTGGTTTCAACTGACAAAATTTTGACAGGCTTAATTTAATATCTGCATTGTTTAGCTTAAACTCTTCGAAAGCTTCTTTTAGCGTATACAACATGTGTCGAATTTGAACACACACCTTTTTTTCTCCTATCACTACAGAAGTATAATCTGCTGTTCTTGGGGATATTCAACTTATTTCATTGTCGCAATAAAAATTTTGTATAACCACTAAGTCTTTTTCTCTGAGACTGTTTGTTGATTTAGGAATTGAGTAAGTTAATGGTTGAGTTTCATTGAGTAAACAACACAACAGTTCCTTTTTCTGAACAAGACTTTTGGGAAGAGAGCGATTCAATTTTTTTATATACTTTCCTTTAACTTGCACATTTGCAAATGATGAGTGATTTGATTCGAGAGATAAAGATGCGTCTTTTTGCTGCAGTCGAAATTTTCTCATTCTTTCTAAACTTTTTAATCTTTCAGCTGCAATTTTTCGAAAATCTTTTTTCCATCTTTGTCTTCGAAGTCTAGCATTTTCTTTAGCTTTGAATTTCTTTTCTTCATGATTTCTACTCATGTAATTCTTTTGATTCATTGCTTTTCTATATTTTATCTTTATGGCTGTAATAAAAAAAGTAAACATTCAAATAAATGTAAAAATTACTTAAAAACTCTATAAAAACACAATGCTCGCCTTTTTTATTTTCATTGGATGCGCAAGCAACTGGTTCCTGCAGTGATTCCATATCTTTATATTGACTATAAAGTCTTTTGGAGTTTTAAATAATTTCTAACTGACTATAAATGTTTTGAAGTTCAAAATAGTTTGAGCAAAACTATTTGTTGCATTTAAAAAAATTGACATTTAAATGTTTAGTTTTGGCAGTCAGCTACGCAACAGGAAGTTGAGTAGGTTTTTTTTAACTATTTGATGGCAATTTTTTTAAATTATTGCAAAACCTTAATATGGCTAATTAGTTGACGTAAATAATCGACAAGGATTTAAAAAAAAAATTTAAATTGATGAAAAAAGACAACTTTTCCTTCCCAGCGGTCAACTACTATATATACATATGTTTATATATATATATATATATATATATATATATATATATATATATATATATATATATATATATATATATATATATATATATATATATATATATATATATATATATATATATATATATATATATATATATATACATAATAAAATATTTTAAAATAACCTCACTTTTAAAAAAGTGCAACTTGTCACCCTTTCAAAATACAGCGTTCAATTAAACTTAAATTTTTAATAGTACGCTAGATCAAGAAACAATAAATTGTAAAAAACTCAGTATCTATCTTTTTTTTCTTTGATCTTACTCCTTATGTTAAAAGGTGTTGTCTAATGCTAAGCTCCATTATTCTTAGTTCACTAAATCACTTTTGGAAAATCTTCATCAGCATCATTAACAATGGTAGGCCTAATATTCCATCTCTCATTCATAAGGTTGATCTTATTACCTCTCCCAAGGATAAACTAAAACTTTTTTGCAAAAAACTTTTCTTTCAATTTAACTCTTGGACATTCTCTTTCTTCCATTCTAATTAAACAGGTCAACTCATTGTTAGACATTCGAATCAATCTAGCTTCTGTTGCTAAAGTTATCTCAGTTAAATTCTTCTACGGCTTGTGGTCTTGACAACATTCCTGGCTAACATTCCATACAAAACATTCCAACATACAACAACATTCCATACAAAACTGCTCTACAAAACTCTCTTGAATTCTCTCCAAACTATTTAATAAGTGCTTGACTGAGTCTTGTTTTCCTGCCTGCTAGAAAATTTTTCTTGGATTATTGTTTACTACTGACTTTACTTGGACACTATTTATACAATCAATTGCTAAATTAGTATCTATTAAGGTTAATGATGCTCTTTCTCTTCTAGACATGGTCCGAAAAAACATTGTAAACATAGTTGGACCCACTCTATCTGGAAAGTTTGAGCCTCATTTCTATTGTCATAAAGTTGCATCTCTTTCTTATTTCTACAAATAATATCATGGTTGCTGCGGAGTTTTTATCCCTAGTTTCATTAACTGAAACTCATTCTCTCTTGACTCGTCATTCAGTAAAGTCTCACTTGTTTACTGTATTTGTCCCTGCATTCTTAAAAAACATATTTTTAGCTTTTTCCCCCACACTTCAACCTTTGGAACTCTCTCCAAACTTCATGTTTTCCTGACTCATTTGACCTACAACTCTTTAAGTCTACTGTTTTCTTTTTTTCCTAGTAACTCCAAACTTAATAGTGGTTGCTTTCAGCCATGTTGGAATTGAATCAGAACAAAAATGAAAAAATTAATTATTACAAGTAACAACGATTGCAAATGTCATCAATGAGCACTTTTCTGCTTCTTTCTAACATTTTTTTGCTGTTATTAATTTACAATACAATTCAAAAACTGTGTGGAATTTTGGAAACTGGCAAAAACTGTGTGGAATTTTGGAAACTGGCAAAAATGAATTTTTGCCAGTAAGACTTGATGTATTTATGGAGAGAGTGAGCACTCAAAACAAGAATAAACAAGTTGGAGAAACAAATCTAGAACACAGCAGATGGATGATGCTTCAAATGCTTTATCAGCTATGGTTATCTGCTTCAAGGTATCAATTTTTCAGCAAATTCATACAATTAATGCTATTGAAGTGACCACCATAGTATAGCTCTAATGGTTAATGTATTGAGGTCAAACATTTTTTGGTATTTTGACAAACTTGAACCAAGTGTAAAATAAAATGGTTAACAACACCAGGACCAAATGAAGTTTCATTAAAGGAATAGCTTTCAAGATTAGCTTTTCATCTAGGAATCAAAAAACGGGGGAAATCAAAGATTGGTGGATGAACAGCATTCTTAAATTCTTTTGATTTCTAGAGATCTGCACCAGATAAAAAAAATTATCAATGTCGCTCTCTGATTTTTCCAAATGTTCACAGTTGTTCAAATTTGTTGACTCTGTTACACCAGCAGCAGGAACTTTTGCTACTGTAAAACTTAATTCCAAGGCAATATTTGCAAGCTTTATGTCACATGACAGAACCAATTTGTTAATGAAATCAATGTCATTACCTTGGATTAGGTCCGATATAAGTTTGGCATTTTTAAATGTTTTCAGTGTGTCTTCAGAGATTGTTATAGTTAGTTGCTTTTTGACACCACTGTTTTTTAAATTCTCACTTGAGGCCAACTTAATTGACTTTTGTATTGGAATTTGTGACTCTGTTAGCTGTTCAGAGATGATGATGGAGGCTCCTTTAAAAAAGAAGCCTCCACCATCAATCCTCAGTTTCACAATGTCAGAGCTCAAAAATCTTTTTGAAAGTGTGATGTTTTGCTTCAGGGTTTTTAAGTTGATACAATTAACTTGCTCTGTATGCACAGGATTTTCCAATGAAATCTGCTTGATGCTCTAAGCGAGTTGTATAATTGCAGTTGTGAGAACTGCCAGGAGCAATGACTAAATTTTGTGCCTTATTTTCAACTGACTATCTTTCATCTTGCAAGGATTTCAATGTATTTTCAAATAAATGTTTATTTTTGCTTTTCACCTTTGCAATTTGAAAAATAATGCAAAAAAAAAAAAAATATTGTAACTCTTATCAATGGCTTCAAACAATGAAATCAAAACTGTAGAGCTCTTGTGCCTTTAAGGCATTAACTCCAGATTTTTGGAAGTTGAAGTGACATGTAACACAAGTTCCAAGTGGAATTCTTTCATCCTGAAAATTCACCTCAGATTTAATCAGGTAATGAGTCTCATAAATGAAATGTTCTTATTTTCTCTGTCATTTTTCTCCATGCAAATAATACATACTATCTTTTTGCAATCATCATGGTCTTTCTAAAAGTGGCATAAAATAACGAAGATATAAATATGTATAAAAATTATTAATATTTTTTAGTTTTTTTGTGTAGGGTTTATATCCTGACTAAAGCTAAGAAAGTTTTTAACTTTTATTTATGCATATATATATTAAATATATTAAAATTAAATAAAGTTTTAAACTGTTCCTTGTATTAGCATTACAGCTTTTATTTAGTGTACAAACTCTTTATGCTGAATTTGTCGACAAGGAAATAGTTTTGCAATAAATAATGATTACCTAATAAGAGTATTATAAGTATTTTTTCCAAAATTAACTGATTTATGTAGCAATCATTAATGAGCAAACATTACAAATATTTGTTCATTAAATATTGCTACACAACCAATTCTAAGGAAACTGGTTGTGTAGCAATTGCTTTCAGTATGGTAAAAAACTTTATTTTTGCTAGCATATATTTTTAAGTTATTGAAAAAAAATTTAAAAAAATGTTAAAAGCTAAATGTCTCCCTTAGATTTTAATCTACAATTTCAAAATTTATTGTTTTGGAGACCCCAACGTATATCAACTCTCAAAAAGATAATTTCAGGATATTTAACATTCTTTATATTTTCTCGCTGAGAGCAAGAAACAGCATTAGCTTAACTTTAATGATGTTAAAGCAAGTACACCAAGCAACAAGCACCAAGCAACAATTTAAGTTTATAAAGTTATGTAAAGTTTTGGGTAAAGCTTCAACAACTCAAAATAATGAATTGCATCAGTACAAAATTCAAAGTGCAAGTTTTGGCTTTGTCAAACATGCATACCAAAGCAATATGTCAAAAAATAGTGTTTTATTGGAACAAAAAGTTCATATATAAACTATATCTATGTATATATAACATAGATATAGTTGTGTAATACAAAAAAGATTTGCAAATATAAATGTTAAAAAGCGCATTAAGTTAATTTTACTCACATATCTTGTAGTCATTTGTCTTGTATAGGCTTCTTCAGTATTATTATCCAGTCGGCCAAAATCCCAAACAAGTGAAACCATGCTGCTTGGTAATAGATGTACACGATAAACCAATTGTCTTAATGGAATATTACCTGGAAGTTAAAGCAACATTTTAATGTTACTATTTAGACTTTGTGTAATAGTTATATTTAATAAGTTTTTTAACTCTTCCTCTTTCTATTCCATTTTATAAAAAAAAAAGAGTTAAATTTGTATTAAAAAATCTCAATCTCAAAAAATATATTTTTGGAATAAAAAAAAAATACAATTTAAAAATGTAAAAAAAGTATAGCTGTAACTATTTATATTTGACATTGCACTTCTATGAATATTTAAATTGAAAAAAAAATAGATATAAAAAACAAACTAAAAATTAAATATGTAGTCGCACAAACTTTTTTAAACATTAGTAATAAAAACTTTTAGAAAAAGTTGAAAGATTAGTAAACCTTAATTGCTAATTAAGTAAGCCTTATTTTACATGTGTCTTATTTCCAGTATAATTCGTATATAATCATGCATAATCATGTATTCAAGTAAAAAACAGGGCCTACCTCAATACTCAATACAGAGCTGACTCCAAAACAAGACAATTCTTTGTAACTAGACTAAATTGTAATTTGACTATTATGTTCTAAAAGGTTTTGCAGTTTCAAATTTTTAACTGTCTAATACCTTACTCTTACTTTTAAATGTCTAATATAATGTATAATAACAATCATAAAAGATCTTATCCCCTTGATCTACAGTTGACTTGTTAACTGTTATAACAGAAAGGTTTTATTGTAGATTAGAAAGAGGTGACAAGGCTAATATAGAGGTGACAAGGCTAATATTGCTAATGCAATACTAGCCTTGTCTAGGGCTATTGCTCTTGACATATTAAAACTTTCAATAAAGTGTAGCATACTGATCTTCTCCATAAGCTTGTTTCATATGGTGAATTTGGGAAAGTTTTTGAGATTATCAAATTATTTCCTTGAAGACCAACACTCTTCTTCATTTTCAGTAACTTCTGGGGTACCTTTAAGTTCTATCTTTGGTCTTGTATTGTTTCTCATCTATACTAATGATCTTCTTGACAGATTTACATCTAAAGTGGTTCTATTTGCTGACAACACAACTATATATGAAAGTCTTGACAAAAACTTTATTACTTTTTTATCACTTAGATTAGGCAGCCTATCTTGAATCTGATATCTCTAATAAGACAGTTTAAAACTATAACACAATGCGAAATAAAACACATTCGATACCAGTAATACAAATTTAATAACAAAAAATTTATAAAATACATATTTTTTTGTCCCACATCAACAGGAAACTTAAAATTCTATTTTATATTTCTATTTCCTTTTGCTTTTTGTATTACTTTGAAGATTTTCCAATTGGTAGCCATAACAAGTAAAACTGCCAATTACAGTACCGCAACTTTCATGAGCCCAGTTATAACATTTTTTACAGCTTAGCCAGTCGTCTTCAAATAATGGATCCATTTCATCTCCAAAAACATAACCACAATAACTACACAAACATGGTGATTCATCTTTAGTTTGGTTAAGCTCTTTGTTGAATTGCTTTCCGTTGTCAAGTATACATGGTGCTTCATTTGACTGAGGCTTATTTTTCTCCAATGTATTGCCTTCTGTAAATCGTTTAGATTTCTTTGTTAGTAAAGCAGCTTTTTTTTCACCAGATAGCCCCAATTCCACTTTCTTTAACAATTTTTTTGCTCTTTCATTTTTTTTATCAACCTGTGCTTTCTTGACACTTTCTTTTAATTTAACTTGATTTTTAAATGGAGAATTTGTAGCAACTACAGAACCTTGTGACACTCGTTTACGACAAGACAGCTGTTGAACTCGATGTGAAACAGGGATTGGTTTTATAACTACAGGTGTGACAAATGTTGTTGATGGCTCCATGACCTGCAACAAATGCTGATCTGGGTCTGATGTCAATGTCATAAGAGATTCAGAATCTATTTCTAATGGTTGTTCAACATGCATGCTAGATTGAACTAGCCCAGATGTTTCAGATATTTGAGAATCCGATTGAATTTGCACGGTTGACTGAGGTGAGCGATCACTGGTCAAAGATGGAACAAAATCTGCAGCAGTAAATATATTTTGATTGAAAGGCCAAATTCCAGTTTCTAAAAAACCCTTTGTAGCTATTCCTGCTGTAGCAGCTCTATCAAAAGCATCTTTAACTAATTTGCCAATTTGAGCCTCTGTAATTGCTCTGCCTGGATGACTTGTCATCCAATTGTCACTTGATTGAAAAAAATATGTTTTAAAGGGTCCAAAAAAAGTGACATCCAAAGGTTGCATCCTGTGACTCCCATGCGGTGGAAGTTTTAGCATGACTATATTAGATTGAAGGCAGTAATCTATGGCAGCCAAACTAAGATGCGATGAATGATTGTCTAGAATCAATAATACTGGATCATTTTGGGTTGGTCTTGTGTGTTTGGAAAAATGCTTTAGATACTCTGGAAAAAGTTCTTGTGTCATCCATCCTGATTTGTTAGCCAAACCTAATGAATCTGATGGAGCATCATCCAGGAACTCATAGCGCATTTTTTTACGTGGAAATATAAATGCAGGAGGAACATAATTACCGATTGCATTCATACTGCACACTAAAGTTACAGTTTTTCCTCTTTCTGAACTTACACTTTAGCTACTCTTTTTACCCCTTTTTTGCAGAGTATTTTTGGAAGCTTTGTTGGTAGTGGCCACACTTGTTTCATCTACATTGTACATTCTACCGGCTAAAAACTTATGCTTAAGCAGCAATTTATGAAGAAGATCAAAAAACTTTATAACCTGAGTCTCATTAAACCCCTGCATTCTAGCAAGTGATGTCTTCTCTGGTACCCTTAGTGATATCTGACTGTTTCGTTTCATAAAACTTGCAAGCCAATCTTTACCTGCAAGTTTTGTATTGTGATCAAAACAGTGAGGCAAGTTGTTTCGTTCAGCAAACTCATAAGCTAACTGTCTAAGCTGCAGAGCTGTAAATCCGTAGTAACACATACTGAGGTGAACAATGTAGTCAATCAAAGATTTTTCCATTTCATCAGAAAATACTTTGCGGAATCTTCCATTATTGACTGGATAATTTTCTGGAGACTTGAATATATAACGACGAAGTGTGGACTCAGGAATTCCAAAATTCGTTGATGCTTGATTTATACTACTACTGTTTTTTTGCACAGCTTCAAATGCTAAACACTGTTCCAATTACCATTTTCACTGTTCCAATTACCATTAACACCTCTAGTTTTTCTTATGTATGTTCGAACCATTTCTTAAACAACTGTATATATATATATATATCTGTATATATATATATATATATATATATATATATATATATATATATATATATATATATATATATATATATATATATTATATATATATATATATATATATATATATATATATATATATAACACACTGAAAAAAATATATACACTAATCTATTAATTTAACTTTACACACAGATACCTACAAACATGTATACAAAAAATATATATACATATATACAAATATATATACATATATATATATATATATATATATATATATATATATATATATATATATATATATATATATATATATATATATATATGCATATATATATATATACAGTTTGTGTTTTAATTTATATAGTTTCTTTTTATGAAAAAAAAGATGTCGTATTACTCGGTTTAGATATTTGAATTTAACAAAATATGACGGGGCAAGATGGCAGACTCGTTATCTTGCCCCAATCAACTTGCCCCGCTGACACAATTATTCTATTTCCATCAATGACTCTATTACTCTACAACAGCTGCACAAACATTTGCTATAACAATATTAAAAAATGTTTTTTGTACCAAATAATAGTTACGCAGCATGCAAAAGGCAGCGTAGCCTAAAATAATAAGGACCAAACTGAAAAAAAAAATTATTTTAAAAATTGTAAAAATATACATTTGTGAATAAATCCACGGGGACAATAACTACAAAAACCAAATGTTATTTAAAATAAGACCCATATAGACAGTTTTCATTACTATCTATTTAAACTATTCATTATTGAGCGGTTCGGCTAAAAAAAGCAATTCGTCATCTTGCCCCCTTCGCCATGTTGCCCCGTTCTCCCCTATATATATATATATATATATTATATATATATATATATATATATATATATATATATATATATATATATATATATATATATATATATATATATATATATATATATATATACCCTCGGAATTAGGAAAAATTATGCCGACCTCAATTTTTTTGAGGTCGGCATCAGGTCGGCAAAAATTATTTGATACAAAGGTCTGACCATAAAACATAGAAACGAGATCGGCAAATTTTTGCCTACCTCAAACCCTTTCAGGTCGGGAATTAGGTCGGCAATGCCGAATGCCGACCCTGATTCCGAGGGTTGTATATATATATATATATATATATAGATTGTTTGAATTTTTTAATTAAAACGATCATATATAATAATCATATTATATAATTTTTTAATTAAAACATATAAATCAATCATATATCATGATTATATATGACTGTTTTAATTTTTAAATCAGGGTTGGTAAAACAACCAAAACTCAATTTTTTTTTTAATTTTTTATTTATAACTTCTTCATTCATGAATTAATTTCCATTAACACTGGGTTTGTATATTTATATAAAAAAAATCATCATGATCATTATTAACTTCATCGTAATCATCATCGAACTTTATCCGTATTTTCAATATATATATATTCAAGGACTTTCCTCAAGATTATATTTTCGTATTTTGTGTCACATGTCTGGACACATCCCGCCCTATATCCTCTTTTTAGTTTAAGTTTAAATCTGTTCTATTATTTAACTGTCTTTTTGTTTTATCATTTTAAATTATTTTCAGGTTAAGCGAAGCTTTGCAATTGTATAAAGATGAACAAGGAACAACAATAAAAACTTCTTTAGAACCTATTTGCGATGAGTTTTTATTAAAACATATTTATCTATTTTGGAAAATAGTTGCTTCTCACGCATTTTGATGCCTAAAATATTATGATTACTATTTTTTTAATTATTT